AGTAGGATGGGGACGACACTGGATGCCAATCTTGCGTATAGAAGGTCAGACTAGAGACTTGTTATGGCCGCGGCAACCGAAGGCACTAAGCGATAATTTCCTAAAGAGGAAATAGTAAACAAACCAAAACTACCCGTGCGACACTCAACTTTCCCCTCCACGATCCTAGCAACAAAACTCCAAGCTGAGCTTCTCAGAGTACTGTGGTCGAGCGCATAATCAAATCGACATAAATTCATTGGTGAAAATCTGCGCATTGCCAGCACGCGCTCTTTTCCATCTCGTCGCGTTCGAAATCCAAATTCAATGTCAAAGGTACAACGCCGGAACGCGACGCTATCAGGTCTGATAGACTCCGAATCAGAGGACGATCATTTCGTCGCGTCAATGCCGACTCCTGATTCTGCAGCGGAAAACAAAAGCCAGGAAGGAAACGCCGTGCCGAACCGAAAGTTGCCCCTATGAAAGTCACGAAGACCAAAGCACCAGCGCGCCGTACGAGCGGACGATTGAACACTAACTCGAAAGCTCCAGCAGCGCAGAAAAAGAGCAAGCGACAGGTGTTGGCGGACAAGACCAATGAGCAACAATTGAGTGATACGGAGGAAGTGGACGAGTTTGCGCAGGATCAGGATGTGGTTATGGAAATCGAAGATACGATCATAGAAGCCAAACCAGCCAAGACGAAAACCACTACCAGGAAGAAGGCCCCTGCGAAGATAGAAAAATCTGCAAACCAAACTTCCACTGCAGATGCTCAGATAACGAAGCCAAAAGGGCGCCCTGGTCGCAAGAAGGCTGCACCCAAAGAGCCAATAATCGAAGAGCCACTATCAGCCGAAAAAGTCGTCTTGGAATCGCAGCCTGTCATGATGGACCTAGACGAGAGCTCAACGGAGTTTATTGAGGAATCTGTATCGAGGACTGCACATAATGGGTCTAAAGCGAGGTCAAACTCGCGGATACGACAAGCGCCAATTCAGAGACGGAGGGCTGGGAGTGCTTCTGATTCTGAGAGAGGCGATCCTAATTTACGGCGAAAACTTGGTGACATAACCAACAAATATGCCAGTCTACATATCAAATATCAGGACCTCCGGGAGATTGGGGTGAAAGAGGCAGAACGTAATTATGATCGGTTGAAGAACGAAAGCCAGGAGAAGGAGAAGAGTGAATACAGCCCTTTCTTAGCTTATTTCTCATGCTAATTCAAACAGTATTCAACAAATTGATTGCGTCACTAAACGCTGATGTCGCCAAGCAAGCAGCTCTTGCGAAAGAAAGCAAAGCTCTCCAGAAGAAGCTGGATGCAAAAAGCAATGAGGTGTTAGCACTGCAAGCTCAAGTAACGCAATTGACGGCGACTCTAGCAGAGACCAAAACTACGGTCAAGACGCTAGAATCGGATAAGAAAACCTTAACAGCGGATTGCAAAATACTGAATGCCAAGTTGACTGCCAATCGTGCAGCAGCTACATCGATAGAGAGCGCTACAGCTCCAAAGGTACCGGGCAGTGCGATGAAGTCTGGGGGAGCAATCCGATTAATGGGCTCTGTTGAGACAGCTCAAGCAGTACAAGCGGCGCAGTTGAAAGAGAATCTCTTTTCTGATCTGACTGGGCTCATCATCCGAGATGTGAAGCGTGAAAAAGAAGAAGACATCTTTGATTGTATACAAACCAATCGTGATGGCAGTAAGTTCATGTCCTTGCGCCCTCAAGTTTTGGGTGGTATTAATATGATTCTTAGAAACACTCCATTTCAAACTCGAAGTCTCCACAGAGAACAACAAAGAGGCACCATGTACCTACGTGCCTCTCTTAGATCATGATCGGGACAGGGATGTGATGGAATTACTCCCCTATTATCTCGTCGAAGAGATCACATTCAAACGATGTGATGCAGCGGGATTCTACGCTCGCGTGGTTAAGGCTTTGACTCAGAAGCCGAACTGAGGTCGGTGTGATGGAGTTTGGGTTTTTGGGCTGCGTTAGGGGGCAAATACCTTGGGTCTGGGTTATTTTTTAGCGGTTAGTGTAGATGATTTGTATATTTTGGTGGTACTGAGAGTTTATTTGGTATTATTCGAGCAATCGGGTGCTCATGCCTATGTGAACGTAGATGCTCGTGAGACTGTTGATGATGACCAAACGCAAATTGAAGCTTGACCATGCGCTTCAAAATTGATATGTTTCGGGTGGACAGAATCAATCGCAATCAATCGCTGCTCCGAATACGACATTCTCTTCAGATCATCTAGTTTCAATATGAGACGACTATAAATGCGTTCTCGGGTTTTGAGATCAAGAGACGTTGTAGCGTTAAGTTAAATCTATCTAAAATATTCAATTCACCATGTCTATTCTGAAGACTATTTCATACGCCAGTGTCTTCCCTGTTACGCCTGGCTTTCAGACGTGGATACAAATCTCATCAACTATATTTCACCAAGAGGCTTTAGATCATCTGGCCTGTAATTATCTGCCAACACGCCGATATAAAAAACAAGACGCAGCCTGCGAGTTACAAAGCATCAGAATAAACATATTGAGTAAGCTGATACCAGTGAATATCCAAAAACTCTATATATGAGCACACCACCCATGAATCAATGCCTATTCGCTATGTATCAACCCCGCCCAGTGCTTCGAACAAAACAATCGAACTCAATCCTAGGTATGACGAAACCGCCGTAACACCTTCTAACGCCTTCTCAATGCAAGGAACGTTTCAAGCAGCCGCTCCGTTCAAGATATACAAAGCTCCACTTAGGAGCGAGCTGGAGAGTTTCAATCACTCTTCCCTCCTTTGGCACCTGCGCTATTTCTTCCACGTATCATACCATCTAAGTCTTCTCTCCCACTGCCCATAGGCGTCGAGCTTCTTACCCGACCGGGAGTGATCTCAAAGCCGCGGCCATCATCACTTCCCGCTCCATCAAGTAGCTCAATCAGATCACTGTCTGCTCTCGCGTTTAGTCTTGGTGTACCCGGTCCATTAACAATCAACTTTCGGAAGAAGCCTTCGACAGCAGCGGCAGCATTCTCCAACCCAATATTTTGACCACCACCAGACGTGGCAACACCAGCCGGTCCATTGACTGGCCCGTTGAGACCTCCTTCAGCAATAGCAGCAAGTTCGTCGCCAAACCCGAAATGCGCAGTTTCAGCCCCTGTGATAGAAGTTGAGTGAGAGTCTATAGTAGCAAGCGCGAAATGCTTTTTCGCCCACTGGTTAAGTCCATCATTTCCTGGCCCGGGTCTTCGAATCTTAGGACCAAGTGTACCTACACCTCCAGGTCCTCGCATCCAACCTAGTCGATCCGCAGCTTCGCCTACGCTTTCGCGGCGCGAACGTGTGCTGGATTGAATATTTGGAAAGTAACTACCGGCTGATCCTATTGGTTGTGATGGTCGCGGCCCTAAATTGCTCGTCCTTCGAGTGGGAGTACTGGCGGTGCTAGTTGAGTGGTCATACGGAGATTGTGATAATAATGACATGCGGCTCTGATCAATTGACCCGCGTGGTGTAGAAAGCCCAGATCGTAGGTTAACACTCTTCCTCCGCCGGGGAGGGAAGTATCCTAGTGCCTTCCGTGACATTCGAGCGATTTCAACTGGTTTGGACGTTGGCGAAGAATCTATCAAGACCCATCGAACATGTGACCAGGGATTCTCGTTATCTTCCGGTCGCTCTACAGATGGATCCGGAGTGAATGGGTCTGCTTGATATGTATCACCATTTGTAAAGGGCGGTTCCTCTATTGCAGGCGTAGGGGCTAAAAGGTCAACCCCGTATGGTGAGTCTGTCGGAGGGTCGCATGGTCTTCCTTTGACTGTACACGCATCTACTGGTAATACGACCGTTTTCCGGAATGCTAGCCCTCCTTCTGACCATAAGCCATTTGCTTTCTTGAATACTTCTTTCGGGCAATTGTATTTCAGCACCACACCAGCAAAGGTGTCGGTTGGTGTTACATGGTGTATATATACCAATGCATGTTCCTCCTGTTCGCTGGGCTGCCTTTGATGATCGCTCGACGTCCTGCGCTTGTAATGCCCATTGGTATCTAGAATATTGTTCTCGTCATCCCTCCCTTCCAAGATCCGCTGTGTCTTCTTCGCTCTGACGGCAGCCTCCCTCTCCTTCGTACTGCCCATGCCAATTTCCGCTTCCTGTAATTTATCGGTATCGGGTGCCGCCCCCCATTCAGTCGGCGCTGCTATCTTAGGGCCGCTACCGACCCTTCGAGTCCGCTGGCTTCGGTGGCTGTTACTCCCTCCATCGTCCCCGGCAATGCCTCCCAATACCGAGTTCGCTACTTGCTGAAAAGCCGTGCTCATCCATCCAGTATTCCAAGACCCTAGGGGACTTTTTGTCCCGCTCCCAATTCTCTGGCCATTTCTACCCCCAGGCGCCAGATGTCCTCCAACAATCGTCCCATTGTCTCTGGTATCTCTCGGGGCAGCACCACTCTTTCGACTCGGATGCTTCGCCGGTATGGGACTTGCCGCTCTGCTCGAGGGTCCTGGTGTGGAGGTTCCAGATGTGCTTCCAAGTTCCTGGCCGTCCCCCAGGGTGTTGAGTCTTCGATTGCGAGGGCGGGCACTGAGCCCAGAAGCGTGGGGGGAGTCGGCGCGTGGGTTGGGTGTTGAAGACCGCGAAGAAGAGGAGATCATGATTGAATATACAGAGGCTGTGACTGGGGAGGGTGCGCGCAAGCAGCCCGTGGAGGGAGATCTGCTTGCATCAGAGCGATTGTTGATAACAGGACGATCTCCTTGGTAGTTGTAGTAAGAATGGGCATTCGGCAAGGGACGTGGATTGTTAATTGGCAAAGCTCGGATTATGGTGTCCCTGTATTCATTACTAGACGGTTACGTGACGCCGGACAAGGTGCAAGTTGTATGCGAAAGCGGTTGGAAGTTGGTGCTGTGATTGTCGTGGGTGGTGGATGGTCGATGGGGCTCAAGAGGTTACGGTGGCCTCGTTACGTCGTCCACCGACAAGCGATGTCACTTCAGATGTGGGGTACAGAGAGTGAGTGAACGGTAGAGACATTGATATGCATTTCTGTAATTGAGAGTATTAACGACCAAATTCGCATGATATTTTGACATTCCAATGAACCAAATCATTTCGTATGTGGCTACTCTAGTTGTATAACTACCTCGGTATTCACCTAGATAGTCGTGGCTGATTGCATAAGTGCCTTTGTTGTACCCCCGACCTCCCAATAGTGCCTCCCGTATCCCAAGTGCCCGGAGAGATCTGTTCAAAACGCAAGAGGAGTCGCGGCCCAAGTTTTCAAAACGATTGATTACCACTTTAGTCTCCGGTTCTTGAGAAGAGTTTAGTACATCCGTGGGCTGACCTGAGACACCCAAAGTAAGTTACTCATAATCTTTTCAATTATTCTGATTCCCTTTTCACACCAGTGCTGTAGAGCACACCTCTCTTGCCTATCCCAAGCAAAATGCTTGTTCCACGAGAACCATAATTTCAGTTCCGACGCTGCTCATCTATGCCTATCGCAAAGCCATATTCCTTTTTATACTTATCCCCTTGACCTATATGAGTTCCAAGATTTGACGCCAATAAACTCCACGACTCTCCCACATTTAATACCAACAACATTTCCACTTTACACAAGAGGCGCGTCACCATTCATACCACTGAGATCACCATTGATACCGAAGAACTGAAACCTACATGACAGGTTAGTAGTTGCTTTTGTTAGGCCGGATGATAATGATGAGGCACTTACCAGTCTTCTACATTCATAGTCATAGGTACAGCTTGAGCCGAAGCGTTACTCAACGTGTCACTAGGACTATGCGCATCTTGAATTGCTTGATCCATGCCTCCCTGCCACATATTAGGTGGCATTTGTTGAGGGTAGCCAGTGTTGCCGGGTTGAAGATAAGCGTTTTGAGGTGGACTACCGCTCATGTTAGGTTGCTGAGTACCCCGCATTCTTGACATTTGAGGACTTGGTTGACTTTGCATTTGAGGGGTCATGCTCAGGTTAGTCCCCATCAAGTTTGGATCTAGATTGTGCTGCGGCTGTTGCGGTGAGAACTGATTAGCATTCATGTTGGCAGAGCCCTCCGGAAACAGCTGATCCGGCTGAAAGTTTTCCCAAACTGACTGCGAAAGATTTGGAGAATTCCTGGTGACGAGATAGAGGTCCGGAGGAGTTGCGGGAACTGAGTATGACGGGTTGAAGGGAGTTGGAGGTCGCGTATGAGGACGGGAGTTGCTTCCTCCCATAAAAGTGTCGTTGTTTGCTCTAGCGTTTGGTGATGATATAGGCGGTGCCATGGGACCTGCATTCTGACCCAGTTCACGAGATGGCGTTTGACTTGGAGTCTGTGGTCGAGATCGCTCGTAGGATTCCTGGGGTGCTGGTGTGACTCCAAAGTCAAGGGCCATATCGTCGTATTTCCGTTTCTGAGGCTCTTCTCTTTTCATCTGTGCTTGTTGAATGCCCTGTGATAAAGTCTGTGCCATCTTCTTATGTCGTTTACCAGCGGCCTTTTGTAATCTTTCCTCGAGCACTTTGTTTCCGAGAATAGACTCAAACAGTGTGTACACCATCTTGGCCACCAACCATACTTTCGAGACGTCTTTCAACGCGTTCATACAGATCCTCAGACGCTCTTGTGTAGCTTGGACAACTGAAGGAATCGAGGAACGCATTTGATAGACATGCATGATGAGGGCAGAGAACAAGCTGTACACAATGAAAGCTGGGCAGTACCGCAGTTCATCGTGTGCACTGAGGTTTTCGACAATTGAGGTGATCATCGAAGCAGCTTGAAATGCAATGTTTCGAGACGGATAAGCGGTATCGTCATTTTGACCCGCCGATCGACCAGAAGCTGGAGGCATATGCGCACGATGTAGCAAACAAAGAGTTGTATAGTAATTTGAGTGAAGAAGAGCTGACCAGAAGTGATGCCTCGGCGATTCCCAGTAAACTTCCTTTGGACAATTTTGGAGCCAGTCTGCTAGCGCCATGTCACTGTGGGTGAGGTCGATTGCATTTTGACGGCGCGCTTTGGAAGCAACGGAGTATTGCTGTGATAAGACCAATCCCATGATCTCACACAACTTTACATATTGCAGAAAGAATTGAACATGCAGGGGATCTGGTGGGAAATCATTGGGCTGTCCATCCTCTTCCTCGATGAAATCTTCTTCAGACACCATCTCAACGTCGGAATCGTCAGTGTTTATGTGAACTGGTCGACCTAGCGCAACTGCAACTGATCGGTCACGCGTGAAAAGGGTCCACCATATACGTTTCCAGAGACGTTTGTCGGCTTTTCCCAGTTGGGATCCTTCGACGCTCCGATGCATGCCAGAGCCTTGGGCGACAATTGTAGCAACTCTACTCCAGTAGAAAACGTTTTTCGTAACATCTTCTGGGCCTTCCCAATACCAGCCCATTAAAACCAGAGCCTGGACGATCGTAACCCGGTCATCTTCATAATTAGCATCATAGAGAGCTTTGGCACGCTTGTAAAAAGTCAAAGCAGCAGGTGTCGTCGATCCGTTGGCATCCATTAGCTGCGGGTTTGTGCACACTCTGGACCCTGCCAACAATATAGCTTGGAGAAGAAGTAAAGAAGGAGGGTTCTTCGAGTCGCGATATTGTCTCATGAATCTGTTTCGATTGATGACAGGAACTATGGGCGCTACCCATTTGAAATATGCATCGACTAGCTCATCGCAAAGCGCTCGTGGTGGAAGCAAGAATGCTCCACGTTGATGGAGGATATCGATTTCGACATTGTCCAATTCCGTTAATCTTGCTCGAGTTCCTCTCACGTTCTCTGGCAGAGGGTAATGTACCACATCAGCAGACCCGTGCCGGTCATGGACAAGCAGTGTCAAATTCGACGACTCTCCCAGATATGCTACTCTGCCTGCTTCCTTTATTGGAGCCCTTGTGAATTTCGGCTTCATGAACTGGGTATAGGTCTTCTCGGTCTCTGCATTCTGTCGTATCTGAGACTCGGTGAGCGAGGAGGACGGAGTACCATCGTGCGAATTATAGACCGTTTGGCTACGGCTGCTGCTTGCCTCATTGAAAGAGGGCGAGTCGGTGCGTGGGGAGTTGTTTTCTACAGGATCGCCTCGGTCACTGTCGGTGTACAATTAGAACTGGTATTTTGGAAGAATAATACAACTCCCACCACATACCTATCAGAATCTTTGGCCTTTCCTGCCGCCACCGCCGATGTCTTCTTCCGCTTCGGAGTCGGAATCTTGCATTCTATCGAGAAGGCCACGCAGTTGGTGCATGGCACGCCCAAGCTGGCAGCATCGCACCGCACCTAAATCTTGTCAACAATGCATCCAGTCGACCTTCTCTTCGCGATCATCTCGAGGATACGGTGCTATGGTGTGGAGGTGGCATTACCTTTCTTGCATGGCATGTCTATATCGAATGTGTGATTAGCTATTGTCCCATAATTCCCATCCCTCGGTGCCTCGGCACACGTTCACACAGGCTATACAAAAGGATTCGGATTGCTTCTCACCTCGCAAGCTCGCGATGCGCGCTGTCTGTTGTTTACTTGCGCGTTAGTCAACTGCTGCTTTGGCGCATGCACACAAACACAATCCTACCTTCGAAAGCTTGGGTGTCCGGGAGTCTGATTGTTTGGGAGAGCATTCGCAGGTGGTGTTCCTGTTGGTCCGCTACTCCCATAGCCATTGCCCTGCTGCAGTGCATGCTCAGCGGAAGCCATAGGCATCTCCATTTCTGTCACTGGGCTTCATTCGACTTTTCTCGCCGCGATTTGGTGGTTTGGCGGGCTATTTCTGTCGTTAATCGTTCTGCGAAAGAGAGGTGGTCGCGGGATTGTGAAGTCTCTCAATGCCGCTGTACGAGGGGCGATCAAAGGCTGGAACCCCCGGTATCCTAACCGAACAACATCAGTCAGCAGAACCTGGGGTACAGGTCATAGCTTGGCGACAATTGGAGGTCGATTCACCAGCTTTGGTTATATGAAAAACAGAGACAATTAGGAGCTGGGGATATAGAAAGGGTCATTAGTCAAGTCCTCAATGACGCCGTTTCAAAGTTACTGAGTGTCCTTCCTCAGAGGATAGGTATACCTCTTCACAACTCCGCAGACTTGGAAGCGCCAACTGTCACCACATGGGAGTTTCCGGCTTCCAATGCATAATCAATGTCATGTTATAGGCTAGAGAATCCCTAGCGTTCGTTCTTAATTGAAAAGTAATAAGCTGGGAAAGAAAGCTCGATCCGTGGACGGTCGCACCGATGGGCTTGTGGGGTAACTGAAGTAGAAGTTGATGAGGCTAGTGACCAAGTAAGGCCATACTTACCTGGCTAGACTTCTGAGAACACGTCGAGGCTCATTAGATCTATTCGTAGTCAAACATTTTGGACTTCCAAGTTGGAGTAAGGGGTGCGCAACACAAAAGAGTGTTCATGTTATATATTACTACCTTTGTAAAACAATCTTTCGCTGACAGCGGTACATTGCCGGCTCGAGCCTAACATTGACCCTCTATTCCAAGACATTGGTCTTAACATACAGCGTCTTCGGCATTCACCGTCGTCGAAACCGTCCTCTGCTATTGTCGTCGAGGATCCGCTAACATCGCGGTCCGTTGGAACATGGCGTTTACCCCAGGATACAAGTCTCAGCCTCGTGGTGGCCGGAGCTACTTCGAACGAAATTAGCTTGCGGGGGAGATGCCGAGGCAAAATCGAAGCAGCTGCTGGCGCTTCATTCTTTCCTACAATACATACATCCGGAGCTTTATGTGCTGACCTTTCCATTAGTTCCCGGCTCTTTGTCTTTGCCCATGGCAGATCCGTTGGCGCCATTCTCGGTAACCACTACCGCGCCCAGCTCTTTTTCTTTTGTCATTTGAGCGGACTCATCTCCAACTTCAACACCGCTGATGAACAGCTCGCTTACTCCTTCTAAGCTCGCGACGAACACACAGAATAGACTTGCAATGCAAAAATGTGAAATTGTGCTTCCAATCTCCAGCCAGCTCCCTTCGTCTCGTACAACCCAAAAGAAATGAAGAGTCAAGAAATCGCTAATTGCCATGACCACCATGAACAACGCTGACGGTGCGACTCCGAGACGTTTGTTCAGAATTCCTAAGTTTGCAGAGATAAGAGCGAAAGGGACCATTAGTTTGACGATAAGTAGCGCGCCTTGAGAAAACGGATCAAAGACGGGAACCAAACGGGCTACACTTTCTAAGCTGAATGATGAGAGCGAGGCAACATTTCCAGTGCAGAAGAATGCCGCTTGGAGAAGAGTAAGGAAAAATAGAGATACCCTCACGTCAGATAAAGTGAGGGTCCTAAAAGGAGAGCTAGAAAGGGACGCAGGGACTGTTGCCTTCCCGTTTGCTTTGGCCGATGATCCAACTGGCTTCGTGTAGACGTAGACCGCATGTTCCATTCTCACCCAGGTGAATAGCACGATGCAAAATCCCAGGTAAAAGAGCCCCTCGTATGAGATACTGAGGATAACGAAAGTGGGTGCAAACGTGAGGAATATAACCATCAATCGATGAAGATAGTGATTATTTGGTTGGAGACGATGAGCGAAAGGCATGAGAAATGATTGGACTAGGAATGTCAGTAAGAGGGTTCCCTAACGCGTCCTTGTAAGGTCAATCATACCCAGTACAGCCCAGCCAACTACTTGGTTGCCTTTAGGCAAGCCGGCTTTGTTTCTCATTGATGCAATACTAGACCTCGTCACCGTAGTGATCAATACAACAAGCCCGATCTGAACTTCGTATTAGTATATCAATCTAGCCATATTCGAATCATGTCACTTGCCTGAATTCCAATGAGTGCACGCGATAGAGAATCGTTCGCAGGCGCTGCAGATTCGTCTGACAGCTTTGAGTTGCCAAGGAGCTTCTTCTGAAAGACGAGATAAAAAGTCCCAATCAGTGCCATTAAAATCCCTCCGGAGGTCCTAAAGAGTGTCAGTTAGCTATTTTTAACCCAAAATGTGTAGGACGCCATACACAAGATCTGAGTTCTCAACTTTCAAGGCTGGCAACAATGTGAATGTGCTCATTACAACGCAAGAAACGGCCCATGTTGCGACTAGAATTTTATTCTTTGCAACGAACCCGGTACCGTAGAAAGGGGGCCAGAACGCTGCGGCAACGAACAAAACACTAAAAACCTCTCGGTGTGTGTAGCCTAGAGCCTGTTCAAGTCAGCTAAGCTGTACAAAAATGCTGGGGATTGTTACATACCAAAACCTCAATTAAAGCCAGTCCAGTAATAGCACTGACTACGAGTGATATTACCGATCCAGCACTTGACAAGTCTAGTAAGGCCTTTCCACCTTCAACTAAAGCCCTTCTCCTGGCATAGACCTCTTCCCAGAACCCAACCGGAAAGATCGCGTACGCATAGTACGTGAGGGGTGATTTTGATATAGCAAATGAGGCGTATAATGCGACCAACACAGAAGAAAAGAAAATGGTACCTGCCATCGTTCGTGATGTCTCAGTTCTCCCATGAAGGACATGTAGATCGATCACAGTTGTGATTGCAAAGGCGATCCAACCTAGGTAGCCAATCGTGATTAAGGCTCTCAAAAAAAGCCAGTCGTACGTTTGTAGGTATCTTAGACCAGCTAAACCCAAATGTACAAGATCTGCTGTCTCTTGAATGGCTTCTTTGTGCAGACCCACTGCGATCAAAGCTTCAATATTGGATAGCCTTCTCTCAACCGAATGCTCCTGGTTCCCAAGGGCCTTAAATGGGCGATAACGGAGTTCAGTTTCCATCTTTTGTTCTTCTTTAATTCTGTACATATCAAGAATGCCCCTGGCATTCGCCAAGAAGGCAGTTGATTTCCCGGCCAAATCACTAGACAAAAATGGAAGGGGAAGCTCGCCAACGGAGTTGACAGGAAATTCAAGTCCTGCAAGATATGCCATCAATGCCGCCACGTCCGCCTGGGCAACATCATGTCTTTGTATGTGGTCGAGACCCCAGTCTGAAGACAGCTGGTCATGTCCTGGTGCGATTTTTCCATCATGTTGGACGGGTTTCGCTACGCCGGATCCCCAGGCAATTAACGGTGTTCTCGTGTTGTCCGGGTGGCCATCGCCGTGGCTTCCCCAATCGCTCATTCCATGATCAGCAGTGAAGACAAAAGCAGTCTTGTCGTCATCGTAGAAGTCTTCAATGATCTTGGTGATCTCCTTGATGCCTTCGTCCACTATTCTGATATTGTTCAGATACTCTGGCGAGTACGGTCGGAAGGCATGGCCATTTGTGTCTAATCCGAGGAGATGAAGAAAAAATACCACTTTGTCCTCGCGCAGCGCTTTGTCCAGTGTCGAGTTTGTTACAGCCTCTGCGAAGAGAGTCTTCACCTTGTCAAACACCCACGTATCCAAAGAGGATGCTTCCACAGAAAAATCTTCCTCCTCCGCGCCGTATGAGTCCGCATCTACCCGTCCAGGCACAGCACCTAACTGGAACATTGGCAGAATATCAGGGCTACCCCAACTCCAGGTATGTCGGCTTCTATTAAATACACTGTCGAAGTTGACAGGATTGAGCTTCCATCCAGTCGTCACCGCAGATACATCTTCGTAGAGGCCCGCTATCAAAGCGACATGTCCAGGCCTAGATTCGGTGGGGACTCGAGTATGAGAGACACCGAAAGTGCCATGTTCGAGTACGCGTGAGCGTAGGAAGGGCGCAAGAGGTCGAGGCACAAGGTCCTCGTCGGTTTTGGGATATGGTTTGGGAAATGATTGGAAAGCTTTATCTGCACGTAGCCCGTCGCCTTGATTGATATTGTCAGCTCTAGTTTTCGCTATTCAAGGAGTTGCGCTATGTACCGACAAACAGAACCAAACGCTTTGCTGGAGCTTCAACGCCATCCGGCCGTTCCACTTTGAACGCCCGCATCCCAGAAACAATAGGACTGACAAAGTAAATATCGAAGATTGATCGAATATATACAAGATGAAATATCATTGCAATGGCTAGAAAGCCAAAGCGACTGATGCGCGCCATATTATGAGATGTAATCCGTATGACCCTGAAGAAAGTTTATTTTGGCATCGATTCGAAGGAAAGTCGGCGGAAGTAGTTTCTGGTCGGACTTTCGATGATCTGGGCAAACTTAAAGGAGTGGCGCGTCCGCGAAGGGAACTGTTTGATCTCTTGGAGACGGTGGAATAATCTGCTTCAAAAATCCGAAGTCCGCAAAACGATACCTGGAGGGATATTTCGCAACAGAAGCGCGTCATTTGCCGAGCTGAGGTGCTTCTGCCACTTTTAGGCGGTGACCCACGCCCGTCAGGGGTTCAGGGGCACCCATTGGGCGAGGCGATATGGGCTCGACAACATGTCTATTTTACACGACCTCCTAGTCAGAGATGATGGCAAAATACTTCTCAGACGTACAGAAACTTCGGACTACTTTTTATTTACAGACTTCTTCTTGATTTTCTGGCACTTTGTTTGACCACCATATTCTCCCAGTCGGGTCGAATAATCGGCCTGTGTTTGACTTTAGGAGGTAACAATATCGCGATCAAAAATACTACCAAAAAGTTTTAAAGAAATTAGTTCACCAAAAAAAGCTTAGGAAACGAAATGATCACTCCGTACCCATAAATGTTCTTTGCATCTCTTTTTGGCTCAAAAGTACTATTGAGGGTAGGCTCAGCTCGACATGAATATCGCTAGACGTTCATGACAACATCGGTCTTCCGATTTCCAAACAGGCTCTGCAGATATGCATATGTGCAATTATGTGCATCTAACCTATCACTGCAACAGCTTTCACATATTAGACTTCGGCTGCAAGTTACCGACGGAATGGTGCCCGCGGCAGCTTGTTGACTTTGAGGGTGGGGTGGGTATCTTTCAAGCTATCAATTGCTTTCCAACACCCGAAATCATATCTCGTTGCTTCCTTGTTAGTATTCCGTAGAATCAAATTATAGTAGAAGCGTTTGCGGATAGTAACAAATTTTGTATAAATCCTCAGCGCCAACATGTCAGAATTCCAAGAACTCGCTAGTAAGTATTTTCAGTCAACACTTCTATCTATTGACTAAGATTTAATTCAGACAACTACTCCCGTTGCTACGGCAAGACAAAACTCAAATTTGGCAAGAGACCGGTTCTCATAATAATCGACGCCGTACGCGCTTATGTCGACCCAAATTCCCCCTTATACGCTCCAGATCGCTTCGAGGCTGCTCGCCAGTCCATGGCTCGCTTATTAGAAAATTGTCGCGCTTCCAAAGTCCGTATAATCTACACTTCAGTAATCTACGAGACTCCCGAGGATGGAGGAAAGTGGTATATGGAAAAATTGCCGAATGTGTTATGCTGCTACGATGCTGGAAACCCATTTCGAGAATTCGCGGAAGGGTTAGAACCTCAAAAGGGAGAGCCGGTTGTGTTGAAGCAGTACTCGAGTAGTTTCTTTGGAACGAGTTTAAGCTCAATGTTGGCGAGCTATGGTTGTGATTCTACTATTTTGTGCGGATACAGTACGAGCGGATGTGTTCGAGCTACAGGTTAGTTGCTAGGTCTCCGTGTAAACACTACAAAATCTTCTACTAATTGTCAACAGCTCTCGATTCAATGCAACATGGCTATAGTCCGTTTGTTGTAAAGGAAGCTTGCGGTGACAGACATCAATCTGTGAACGATAGCAATCTGTTTGACATGGATCAGAAATTTGCTGAAGTGGTGTCGGAGGAGGATATAATGACTTTGATTGATGGGATCAACAAGAGCTAATAGAGTAGAGGGGAAAATAAACGAACGAATATTCAATCATACTGTCTGCTCACGTCCAGCTGGTATAGTCGTGATGACGCCATACCGCGACCCGACTTCTGAAGGGATACTCGATGCGATTCTACACACTTGCTTCATCGAAGGTGATCTGACTAGCCCAACTACTAGGGAGTTTCCGTGGATTATCTCTTGGGCAACTAACATTGCACGTTGACTTTGTTGTTGTTGTCAAAATGATATCTACTCATGGGACTGATTGAGCTTCTTATGAACCTCATCAAGCTTCGTGCACAGTCTGGGAGGAGGATATCGATAGCTTTTGATCTACAAGAGCCGAAATAGTATCAAATACGCCATTGAATCCTACCATACATGCCACCGCTGCATGGAAAACTCATCGATATTAGATGCTAATTATATAGTTGTCCCAAGATCCATAGGCCTCTCCTCGGAGCTGTAAGTTTGTCAACTCAACTGGAGATTCTGCGCCTTGCCCCCCAATATTCCGTTTTCTTACCCAAGTATTAGGATAATTGGCCACTCTGACTTCGATGGTCACCAGTCTTGTTTCTAAAAGAGCAAAGATATGCCCTATCATGAAACTTGCAATTTGCACAGGCACCCACAGACCAGTTGTCGATAATTATGCATTTCTGGAATGGCCCCGAACCGCGTTGGCAACTCTCGCACGGTACGGATGCTACAGACCCCCGCCGATATGCTGCTGCTGAATTTTTTTTGCATTTCTCGTGTCGCGTCGTAGGTGTTTTACTTTCATCCCAGAGTGTAGGAGCCTTTTTACCGGGGCGTAGCTCAAGCTGTCGAATGACGGCAAGTTTTAACACGTCAACATCATCAAATACTCCGGTTATCTTACCAGTTACTTGACCGGGTGTTTGATAAGAAGTAGGACTTAGGGCACTCGGATGTTGGGTGATCAGCAGCTCTTTCCTCAACGCCTCGTTGACAACTAGCTCGGCGTAAAATAAATTGTCATAACCAACACATTCCAGGTAATCGTAGCACAGATTCATTGATGCCTCCGGTTCAAAGTCATGCTGTGTTAAGTTAGTCCAGACTCATTGTGTGGATATCTAGGATGTCTTAATTACCACTGCGAATGCCGCTATAATGTCAGATATCCCCAGGGAGTTCGGTCTATCCACTTCACTAGGGACCTCAACATCCGCAACACTTCCGGCATTCTGGTTAGCGCTTTGGTAAAATATAGACAGTGCCTCTACAGTCTCGCAAGGCTTAGCCATGCCGAAGAGCGGTCTTGTTCCTAAACGGCGCGCCCATTCCAATTTTATACTATGTGGTAGCCTTAGAACCTCATCACGACCGAGGTAGTCACTTGCGGAAGGCTGGCGGTAGGTTCCGAGATAGCGATATCCGCCTCTTCCATTCCGAACTAAGAGGGCAAAAGGTTCATTTTCTGATGATGAAGCCTGGGTTCCTAAATATCAGCCGTTGACCGAGGACAGAGGATTCGGGAGCGAGCTATCGAGGAACCAAAAATCCCCTACACAGATGATCTAAAGTATGCATATGACAGTAAATGGTTGTCATGAGCCAATTCGACATGGCCCACCCAGGTTGGACTGGCAAACGCAGGGGAGCGTCGGAATTCATTTCCGACTTATTCTCACTACATTTTTTTTTGAGATAGTTACGACATGTAATAATCTTAACAGATAATTTTTCCGATAATTCTGATGAGAAGCGCGGGAAAAGCTTCTGGCATCTCCTGGCTGAGCTCTGGTTTTGCGTATTTTGGGACTTCTAACTCGCTGGAAATGAAAAGATAGATTATAGACTTACATCCTTCCCTTTACCATAACATGTAATATGAGCACCGTGAGCCCCTGGATAAGAAGGCAAAAGAGGGTCATGGGTGGAATTTAGAAGTTTGTACGCCTTAATGGGGTGAGCTCCCGGCAATCGAAAAAGCCCATCGGAGATAGGCGTACCTGCGAGTAGACGCTGGATGTCATCAGGGTCGAAGATATATTCGGTTGAAATATCTGGTATTTTCAGCCCAGTCAAAGGGGCTAAGCTCTCAATAGTCACTGGCATTCGAACTTCTTCAAAGCGTGTAAGCGAGTTATTAGACGGATTAGAAACACTCAAACTACTGGTATTATCACAGGTCATCTGAGAAGTGTTTCTGAAACTGTCAGTAAGTCAATTGGAGAAATATGGTATACTTACTCGCGCAGTTTTCTGAAATCGTCCCCCTTGCTGGGATATTGTGGTGAGTTGACAACATATGGCGTCTCATAAGTACCGCCGTATTCTATAATCAGTGGCGATTTCGTGTCGGCGCGTGTTGATTCTTGGATATTGTTGGGCCTCTTCGATCTAGAAATATTGGACGCTATCTGAGCAGGGAGACTAGGTTGTGGGTGGAGGAGAAGAGGGCAATCATTATGGATAGTCAGTAACTGGACATCTCTTTGTTTCGCTGAAAGGATAGCCGAGTGTGTTTCGCTCGGTTTAAATGTGGCCTCCAACGGCGTAGGATCGTACGAGCCTGTAACTTCAGTTGCAGATTTTTTGTGTTCGCCATGATGACTAGAAGTTGGTGAGGGCTTTCTTTTCCTGGTAATCTGACTACTGGGTATCAGCAAAATTGAAACATGGTAAGACAAAGATTCTACCTTTCGATTGCGAAACTGGCGCCTGTTTTCCGATCTGTCGTATTGTCTGCGGCCATGTTTTGTAAAATTTTAGATGTTTAGATGTTTGAATGTCTGATGGTTTTAAAACACAAATCGGAGCTCCTATTGTATTGACGAGTGAGATGATCGAGCCAGCGTTGATAAATTGAGTATTGATTAAACGGAGCAAATATTTTCCTTGAATGGCCCAAGCATGGCAGTGATCTAGGGGACAGCAATCGCTAGGAGAAAGGCGCAAGTATGTTGGCCGGCAGCTAGCAGTTGAGTGATATTTATATACGTTGGGAGGAGGCGCCGTTGATTCCAAATGTTGTTGAAACGTGTTGTTTCCTTAGGAATGAGAAATGATAAATTTTGAAGGTGACATATAATTCAGAAGTCGTGCCTTCCCAAGCCGACCGACTGCTCGATGTTCAGAGCAAGTACAACCGACACCTCTTAGCTTCCTTATTTCTTGCAAGTCGAGTCTACCTCGAGCGAAACGTGCAGCAATCAACATGAGGGGAACGTACCTAGTCAAACAGGGCTCCTAGTTCCACGAACTAGAACTAGTATATGATACACAGTAAATTATTGCTAATACTAAGCATACCACAGACTTACACAACATATTCTCATGTGAACATGAGACGACAAACCGCCAGAAGAAATAGTCATATTCGGGGAAGACGATGCTAGAGGTAAGAAATGTTCAAAGCTAGACTTGACTCTCTCGATCGCTATCAAATAAAGAGCTACGTGTTTGTATGAATCTGTAAAAATAAATCATTTTAGTCGACACAATTCGATATCTCGGGCTGCCTCTTACCATTCTCCGGAATTCCTAGCTTGGAATTCTCTTCCCACACGTTTCGAGAAGAGCTCCCCTCTATTTTTTGTGCCACGTCCCGATCTTGAAGATACATTCATAAAATCTCTGGGCTTAAAGAATATATTCAGGACAAAAAATATGAAGACGTCCCTCGCATATCCTTGAAACCGTAGAAGAAATAACGAGTGGCCCAGTAGATCACCTATTTTGTGCAATAACGAAGATGGAAAGCAACATCGCATGCCTAAAAACCAATTCTATAATGAGCTGCAATTTATTAAAAGGTATATCGGCAAAGACACTCCGTCGCAAACATCGGAAGAGATCATTCCAATTGACATTGTTCTGCTTCCATACTGCAACTGTGAGTTTTAGCAAACCCCAGGCGCCCTAGATCTCGGTAATAAACTACCGAAATTGAGCTCTTGATTTGACATGCCTTATTGTAGTTCCTACCTTAGCTGCGGAACATTGTCGTTACAACTTCCCATCACGTGGAGGGTCGCTCAACTCCCCCCTATCCCAATTTTCACGTCTCTGTCGGAGAGGCAAGGCGTCTCCTGTCTTACATTCATCAATCCCAATCCTGTGACGTACCTGCTAATGCTCGCAGAAATTGAAGGTATTCAGGTCATTCCCAAACGTTTCCTGCAACCCCTTCCGTTCGTCCATCAACTCCAACCTTAACTCTTTAGCCTCTTCAAGGTCCATTGGATCAACTACCTCATCGATCACAGCCTCGAAGAGCTCCGTCGGAAGGACCGAGAGAGCTCCAGTATCTCGTAAGGTTTCAGCCCACCAATCCTTCTGCTGAGGCGGCACATTTGCAGTCGAAATGATGCGTTCTCCGGGATCGACCAGGAACAAGGCCAAAATCTTACGATGACCCGGTTTGCTTGGGTCGACAAGGGAGAAGGGCGCTACGCGGTGCTGGAAAACATTGGGAAAAGAAAGTAATCGGCCTTGGCGCGTCAGGACACGGCCGCGATCCTGCATTGCATCGCTGTGTTGTTCTATGTCGAAGAGGTATTCGAGGTAACCGTAGTCGCCCTACATTGTTAGCTCAAGTCGCCAGATTGCGTCACGCTCAGACTGTGCAACCTACTTGTCCCGGCATCTCATGGAGGTCTTCAGTGTCTATCTGCCCTCGGAACGCGAGATAGCTGTCGGTAACGTTCTCGCAGTCATAGTAATACAATGCAGTTGCGCAAATTTTCTCATTAAGCTGTCCCTCAACGTGCCACGAGCCTCCGCCATAACGAGGCTTCTCAGGGGTGAGCATGATATTGGCCAACTTGATAATGACTTGTAAGCCCTCCTTAGCATATTTCTTCCTCAGAAAGTCATCGCTTGGCCACTCATTCGGGTCTGTGGGTCTGAAGGCACGAGGTTGTGGCATGCACAGCAGCCGATCTTCAAGTTCTGAATCTTCGCTTCGGTCCATTTCAGAATCCGAGTCTTCGATATCCTCATCTGACCCTTCCGACTTCTCTCTGTGCCTGTCGTCTGGAAGATTCTGTTCTAACTCCATATCGCCTGGGAGTGTTCCCTCTTTGTCGTCCTCCACATACTCAAACCCCAACTTTTCAATGCTAATTCGCGGGCCGATGCCATTATCCAACCTTTGTATGCCACAGCTCCAGAGTGGAAGGGCTTTTCCTATGAATTTTTCGATCACCGAATAGAGATGTTCATGTCGCAGGGGATGAAGATTGTTGATGTAGCTTGTGATCTTCACTTCATCTCCTACAAACTTGATTTCGCAAGGTAGCCACTGGAATTTCTTAGACCAGAGATGAGACTTTCTGGCGTAGTAGAAAGTGCTAGAGTGGACAGTTTCCTCGTTATCCGGCTGCGGCGCAACCTCTCCAGAGCCGGCAGCAATCAGGCAGTCTTTTAGTCCAATCTCTCCGTGGGAACGAACCTTGGTACGTCCATATACCAAAGGAAAAAGTGAGGGATGAACAAGATTGAGAACCTTTCCATCGGAACCAGGATGCCAGTCTTTGAATTTGTCATCATTCGGGACTTCTTCTAGGGGCTTGACCGCGCTGATCAAAGCTAGCCTCAATTCTTCTTCGACAATGGAGTCGGACTTGATGACCAAAGCCTCGACGTCGAGGACCATAACCATGCCCGTTTCCTCGAACATCTTGGCCTTTTCCTGCAATTCGTCGATGCACTGGACTATGAGAAATGCAGCAGGAAGGAAGGGGATAACATACAAAATCAAACATCTCACTAGTAAATCCCTGAGCTTTCCCAGCCAGTGGCTCTCTTCGGAATTGCGGTCCATGATCGTTAACGATTTCATTCTTCCAGCGTTTGATAATGGTTTCGTCAAAGACCTTACGTCGCCACTCAGGCTTGTCGGTTAGCTGGTTCATGACGGCCAACATCATTGTTTCCCGAACGGTAATGGGTGTGTCTCTCCAACTTAATACGGCTTGAGGTTGGTGACCTTCTTGAAGCACGTTGAGAGGACAACCATAGCCAGGTCTGACGAGCGGCTTGTTTTCGGACACTAGGTAACTGGTTAGTGACGAATTTGAAAAGGAAGCTGGATCATACTTTTGAGTTCTTAGTCTGTCAATGGCAAAGGAGTATCTCCACGTCGGGTCTTTATGAAGCTATCGAATATTCGAACTGCCAGGCAGCTTTCAGCTTTCAGGTAGCACGGCCTGATTACCGAGATGGTGCCGAATTTATTCGTTCCAAGTACGTCAAAATCACTTGGAGATCAGGCATGCTTGACTGCCTAGAGAGTATTCTCCTCTACTCCCGTTGCGCATGTTAGTCGTAAAGAAACAAGGTGGGAAAACAATACAGCGCTAGCAGAGGCGATTAAAAGCAGTGATGGGATTTCACAGCTCCGAATATTGAGACTCAAGACTGTTTACGCCTCTTGAACAATGTAAGTTGATGTTGTTCTAGGAATAATGGAAAAACTCGCTAGCGGCACACTGCCTCTTACCTGGGTACCTACTATCAATTTGCAATCTCGTCTTAAGAATTGTTAGCGAAGCGCTAGGAGGGCAACGTCGTAGGCCAGCAACCAGATATACAGCATATAATTGTCGTATGATCTGATTCACCGTGGATGTCCGAACGTCTTTGATCTGCTCTTGTAGAAATATACAGACTTCTAGCATGTTACGCTGCCTAGGTACTAGCGGTTTCTCGCGCTATGTTCGTACGGTAGGATGACAACTCCTCCTACCTCTTGTGAGCTTAGACAGCTATAGCGAATGGGAGTACCATATGATTCAATGCCACGGTACTAGAGGTAACAGTTCCAGTGTTTTTTCCTGACATCTGGCGGCTCAGAAGAGTCTTGCTCAAAGTGCCGAGGGGAGCCTATGGCAGCGCAGGACCTCGCATACGTATAAGACCATGATACGAAGGGTACTTGTGAAGACAAGAGAATTGCAACAATCCGCGAAGGCCGAGGTAAGCCAGACATTGAGTCGTGATGCTGAGGATGACTCTGCATTGAGTTGAGTTGGATATACGACAAAACCATTCCATGGTGTCGACCTAGAACTAAACACGACGTCCGGCAAATCCACGGCCGGCGCGTCTCCCCAGGTCGACCACTTCACAAACGTCCCCCCTCCAGCCAACCCATCCCATCATGTCCTAACCCCTCCAAAACGCAATGCCAATCTGCATCGAATGTCGGTACCCCGTTAAATTCCTCTACACCGAGTATTCCGGCGCGGACGATAAAACCAGCGGCCACGGTGTACGTCTTACGGTGTGCAAGAACTGCGGACGGTTCTGCGATAAATACGTAGAACATGATTTCGTGGTCTTGTTCATTGATTTGGTTTTGATTAAACCGCAGGTAAGTCTCTCGAAGTTGAGGATAAACGATGAAAGAGCAAGAAAAGAGGAACCAGGCTAATTGAAAAAGGTGTATAGACATTTATTACATAATACTTTAATGCGCGAACATGATCAATTCGATGTATATCTTCCTCCCAATATAGACGAAAAGCAGAGCTGATGTATACAGCCCTCTATAATCCGACTCGGCATCCTCCTCCTCCTCTTCGACGTCTACCTCACCTGGGCGCGAATAGAGAAAGAGACGTCTCCCGAATCCCTCGCCCATGACAAGAATGGCAATAATAACTTCCTACGCCTTGCACAACAGCCTATAGTATTTCAATATGTGTTCTTCTGTACGACCCCGTATAAATGTAGTAGAAGCTATTCTAACGATACTAGTAATCCTCTGCGCCCTCTCCACCCTCGCATTCCACGTCTCAATCCGCTCTTTAACCTCCTCGCCCATATCTCCCCTCGTCCTGTCAGGTCTTATACCCCGCTACTCCCGACCAAATTCAGTGAGCACGGCGCTTTTGGTTTCATCCTCTACAAAACTGTTCCCCATCTTGATGGTGATTTGGGAATACGATGTCCCTGCCGCAGCGCGATCACTGGGATGGGCTGTAGTTGCGAATAATGTGGAAGCGCTGAAGATTCTTCTGGATTGCGGGTATGGAACCGCTGCCATACTGGCTACGGTGGGTGCGATCTCGAGATGGTTGGTTGGGAGGGGATGTCTTTGGGCAGTCGGATTAGAAGGAGTGGATACAGTTGGGGATGCGGGTGTCGCGGCAGATGGGAAGGCGCTCTGGGCACTGGTTGAGTTGGCAAAGGAATGGGGAGGTAGATTAGGTCTTGGGTAACCATAAAGTAATAGATTTCCGGCCAGTTGTGGCTGTCATAGGCCCAGGCCCTCTTCTGACATCCTTCTGATCAGAGGCACAAACCGCTGTCTTCGGCACATATGTACCCCCTTCAAGTATTCCGACAGCGCTTCCTCTTCGTATCCACCTCCCAAGAGCCAAGCCATACAGTCCTCCCTCAATATCAATACATATCCATTTCAAAAGCGAACCCTAGGCCCAAACCCAACGCCAATTTATACATGCAAGTCTAGCTTTCTCCCCCTTATCTACTCATCCACTTTACTCATCCACTGCAAACTCTCTCAGCCCGCCGCGCCGTGGAACGATAAGAGGATGCCATTGTGCCAGGAACGTGATTGCTATACCATTAATTAATACCTTGTCTCTTGCCAGAACAGGATTTGGTATACGTACCCCACATGAGATAGCAACTCGCGAATGAGAGGATCAATGAACTGCGCCAAATTCTACAACACACCATCAGTATAAGTAATGATTGGGAGGGAGGTTTAGTGTACGTTTGTGTCTCGCCTTTAGGCGCAAAGAACCAGCCCGCGACGCAGGCGATTACGACTACGACGAGCCCGATGATGATGCTTGCTCTGCGGAAGGTTAGCCCGTCGATCTCGTATTCATTTACGTGATCGAATAGATGGAGGTGAGAGCAGTGACTTACCCGTTTGCCATGTTTGCGTGGTTGGGAAGCTTGTCGATGTTCTTGGGATGAGACGTCGTTGAGCTTGCTTGACGGGGGAGCTTCGGGTAGTGGATTACGTAAGGATTTTGTGTCTGGATTTCACGTGTGACGAGGATCGGTTTTGTCACCAACTTATGAGAAGAAATGAGAGATTAATTTTTATGAATTTTGATTCTAGCATGTAAGTTAGGAGAGACCAGTCAACCATTTATTTCCCATTCTCAAATCCCAACTCAGCCTCATGTCTAACCGCCCCATAAATCCCTGCGATATCCCCCTTCTCCCCCCTCAACTCCTTCACAACCTTCAAATGTCCATCGCCAACCTCGACAGCCTTCATGCTCGTCCCAGCGCTCTTCGCCAGGTCCAAAGCATGACCAGCATCCTTCCTTGCCAAATCGACCGCAAAAAGAGGCTCCTCCCTCTTCCAATAATCGCCTGAGATCATACGGTTCGAATACGCGGTATACGGCCCAGGAAACATGGTTTCCACGAACGTATGCAGATTCTCGACACCCAAGCCGGATTTCTCTGCTAGAACGTGCCCTTCTGAAAGTGCCTCAATCATCTGAATGATAAATGTATTCCCAATAATCTTGAGCTTGAGCGCCTGACTAATCGGTTGATCACTGAAATCGATATTGGCGCGTCCCATCACGCCTTTACAGTACGGAAGTGCCTTTTGGACACTCGCTTTGGGACCAGCGAGGACGCAGACGAGTTGACCGGCGTCTGCCATTGCTGGTGCGCCGAAGACAGGACAGGCAACGAATTCAGCTCCTGCTTCTGTGATTTTCGTGGCTAATGCTTCGGAGGTGTCGGGATGAACGGTTGAGCATTCGACGAAGACTTTCCCTTTGACGTCGCCTTTAAGAGCGGAGTCCATGGTTTCATTGATAGCGGCGTCGTTGCCGACGCAGGTAAATATGATGTCTGCTTTAGATACTGCGTCGGCGATTGACGTGGACACGACCGTTTTCCCATCTGGAAAGGTCTTGCTTAAGTCTTGAGCTCGCTTTTCGGTGCGATTGAAAATTATAAGAGGTTTATCGAGCTCTCCTTTCTCGACTATGTTTTTGCACATTCCCTATGAGATGTGTTAATAAACATTCATACATTGCTTAGAGCAAGTAGATATACTCGTCCCATGTTTCCCAAGCCGATCCATGCTAATTGAGGTGCCATCTTATCTGATTTTCCGAATGTGAGGTTTTAAATTCAATGTATTATATGGATATTTACTTTCTTCTTTGCGTGATTAGACGAGCACGAAAGATTCAAGCTTTACAATATGTCGAGAAACGAGGTACGTCACGAGGTGCCGGTGGCAACTGCCGACTTAGATGGATGCTTAGTAGAAATATTCTGGAATGGTGACAACACAATCATTAGCCGCGCGTCGACACAATCGACACAACTCAGTACTTGAAATATGACAGGCTTTCCTCTCGATGTCGTGGCTTATAACTTAGGAAACGAAAATGTCAATTCTCATCAGATCAAAGCAAACCATAATCTTTCGTTCGATCAACCGCTGGTTCGCTTGACCCTGGGTGATGAAATCTGGTAACTTGCTACCCAAATTCATACTGTGTTACAATGTCTTAATAATTGAAATTAATATCTTTTGTTTGATCGTATTTCGTAGGCGGGGTTACACCCATCAGCGAACCACCTTTCATCATACATCATAAATACGCTAGATATTGCAAATATGAATCAAACAAGCCGCCGCTCCCAGCTGATGATATTCCCCAAACGCCACGCTAATGTGCACAGCAAAACAAAATGGTCCAAAATGGCTTCTCGTCTTCACCAACTACTGTACGAGTCCGCGGTACTACAACCACCATCAACTGTTGCCGCTGAGCCTTCCATTGGTAATGATTCCATCAAGCGACGGCTGACATCCTCCTCAAACTCCTTTTCCTGCGCGGCTAAAAGCTGCGGATCTGCTTCTCTAGCATGAATAAGCATATCGATACTTTCATCATCATCCTCGTACACGCCACTGCTTTCTTCATCTCCGCTTTCTTCGCGATCTTCCGCCGCTTCGTCAATATCCATAACGTTAGACGAGCGTGGAGTTGCTACCAGACCGAGGTCCATCTGTTGCTGAAAGTTCATAGGTTGTTCATCTCGTAAATGGGAGACTCCTTCATAAGAGTCGTCGGAGTCCGAGTCTCCTTCTCCAGAACTAGATGTATCGCTGAAGAATGTTGTCGCTCCTGGTAACTCGGAAGGGCTGAGTGGCTTTAGGATTGTTGAGAGAACTTCGGTCTTCACAGGTAGATCTTCGCGCTGTTGGGGCGACATGGGAGGGGGGGAAGAGTACGTATTTAGAGAAGCTAGTCTCGCAGTAATATGATCCTGCTCAATCTTACGAAAGATCTCGAGCGATTCTCTCGGAATGCTATGCTTGTATTTCAGCGCACCTGGGCTTGTTGCGGAATATTTTGATGCCTTCTTGTAAACTCCAGCATGGACGCGTGACACCCGCGTCGTTACTGTCAGAGCAAAGTGATCTGCAGGACGTGTGCCGCCTAAACCACAAGCATCGAAGTGCTGCAAAGTGGACTCGCAGGACGACATTGGGCGCGCTTCGTCCCAAGACAACTCGGAACCTGCTGCACCATTCCCGAAGAAAAGTGGTTCTGGCTCTGGCTTATGTAGAAATGTGGAAAGGCGTGAGTGGTCTTCCAGTGGCCTGTATGGAATCAAGGACCCCGAGGGCGTACGATTGAGCGGCGCATGAGGTTTTTGTGTAGGACATCCTATTACTCCCTGGGCGTACTTGCTGAAACCATCCTTGTCAACACTGGTGAAATGGCGTGGAGTTGAAATGTTTCCTCGGTCGCCAGATAAATCGGTGCAAAATTTCGTTCCAGAGTAAAACACCATCGGACCCCCTTCACGTCGACGTTTTGAGGAGGAGGCTGATCTCGAATTTGAATCCCGAAGGTTAGCCTGCCAGGACTTTCCAGCCCCGCTTCGTGGAGGATAAGATACGCTGGTGTTGCTATCCGAGGAAGCCAGATCATCGTCTGAGTTTCGATGGCGAAATAACGGCTTGTATTGGAATGGACGCATTTCGGACTGAGCAGGCTCCGTTTGATGGTCAGGACCAGGCTTGCCCTGCGGTTGGATGCGCACAGCAAAATTGTCTGTCTTTCTCCTCTTGGCGTGCGATTCCTCGCAACTATCACTATCAGAGGGAGAGTGAACCTTTCCTCGACTACGGTCACTATCACTGCTCAGTCGAGTACCCTCCGAACCGCCTCGCCATCGAATCTCCCGCCCATCAGGAGATAGTTGAAGTTTGGAACTGACATCGGCAACAGCAGACCGAACAAAGTCGAGCGTTACGTTTATCATATGAAGTTGTGCCATGTTGTAAAGAAGATTGAGATGCGTCCATCCCATATTGGGTGCATCAGCATCAGCATCTGAAGCATCGTTGGTGATCAACTGCGGAGTGGAAAGCCCAAGGTGTCTGATATACTCCACATTATCCAATGGATCCTGAGCACGATCAGGATCTAAATCCAAAGGCCGGGTGGGACGCTGTGCTGGTGACGATCTTGAGGAGGGATCCGATGAAATTCCGGAGCCGGTTGAATCATGACTTTCTAGTTGCGGAACACCATCCACAGCAGGGTCCATGGAGTGAATTTGAGCCTCACGATTCCCTTCCGTAGGTAACCATCTTTGATTGATGCCTTGCTCGGCGGTTGCTGCACGTGAGATCGCTTGTTGCTGCATTGGTTGATTGTGGTCCCCAATCGTACCAATGACTTTTCCGGTAAACAATTGTTCCAACCGCTTCACCACCATTTTCTTCCTCTGCCTCTCGGTCATCGTATGTGAGTTCTTTGGTAGTAGCCCTTCGGGAATATCTTGAAGGAAATTTTGAACCTTCTGAGCCTTTGCCTGGTTCGTCTCTACATCCAGAGGTCGGGCCCCGGAACCCAAGCGGTTTGACGCCGAAGTCGATGTAGGGTCGGAGGCCGACATCGAGGCGTACGCTGAATCCACCGGTCGCGAGTTCGAGGTCGACGAGGATGATGATTTTTTAACAGCATATTGAGATTGAGGTTGAGGTGCCGTTGGTGGAAGGACCGCGGGTCCTGGCGCGGGTGTTGCCGTCTTCTCGAATTTAGGCCGCTTCCTGTCGGGAGTCCCGTCGACGGTCGATATAAACGCTTGAAGGGTCTCTTCTAGTTCTCGCTTCTTGCCGGAGGGTAGGTCTCGGTGCAACTTGAGCTCAAGTATTCTATCCTCCTCCAGATCAGAATTATACTGTGCTTCATACCGTCGCAACTTCTCTCGCAATTTCTTGTTTTCGATAGTTAAATCATCAATGACACTTCTATAGTCGTCGACACTGCTCCCGTTGGTCGACCGTAACACGATCGGTGCCGGAAACTGATAGTCCATATTCTGCGCCTGCATCCAGCGCTCATTTGGAGTTGAAGCATTGTTGGAAGCGGTGGTGTGCGGTAGAAGGAATGGCGGTTCTCCTCGAGGTTTGTTAGCAAGTAAAGAAGAAGTGGCACACTGTCGAAGCGTACCATCATCAAATGTTGGTCTCTGTCCCGCGCCCGGACGCTTATTAGAGCGATCAAACCATCTGTCGGGCGTCATCCCCCCTGAGTCGCCCGTCTCATTGCTTCCTGTCGAAGCTAGCCGTGGAATAGGATCATTGTCTCTCCGTCCCTTCCAGTGCTGCCGCCGGCTGCCATCTCTCCCAATATCCACCGGTTCCTCCACGCGGCGTAAACTGACGGAACTATGAGCAGGTACTCTCCGTGGGTGCGCCGGAGCAGAGGGGATGATGCCCTGCTGGTTGCTTGTCGGGGCAAGCATGTTGATGTTGTCGTTGAAGGCTGGGCAACCTATTCACATGTCCTACGCGACTTCCATCGAGGTTCTCTTGGTGGCCATTCGTTAATGCGGATTGTTACTGCTCCAATTTCTCCAGATGGGTAGTACAGCAAGATGTTCGATGTCCGGTCGTATGGTCGATGACGGGTCCTGTCAACAGCGACGGGTCTCGATGGAAATAGGTTTTGAGCTCACGGATGAGGTAGCGATATTTCTTTCCAGCGTGAAGCTAATGCTTTGTCTGACCGTCGATATGGGATTCTGCAGAAAATGGAGGAGTGCCCAGGTATGGAGAAGGAGGAACAGTCTCCGAGGATTCTGAGATTCTCAGATTCTCAGATGGTCAATAGACCCGGAGAGTACCCAGGTCCCTTACTCCAGATGGCGATCGAAAATCAGACTCCAATCGTGCAAAACAGGCCAAGTGCGAGTGCTGCTGGCATCCAGCAAAAGCGTGTGGCAGCATCTCTGACCCACTGCCCTTGCTGGGTCTGGAGGAGCCCTGAGCGCTGCAAAACGCATCCATCGCGAGAAAGCGTTGCATTTCGATTAGCTGTCGTTGCAAAGCAAAAGGGAGTACGCTCGTCGATCCGAATGTCTTGTGGCGCGACACCGACATGGGAGCTGTGATCGGGTGACGACAGCCAATCACTCGCTGAGTCAGCGGTGTCTGTTTTCGATCGCGATTGTTACTAGCGCGGATCTTCACGTGGAGAGATGGACTAGTCTTTTCTCTACTACGCAGCCACGAACTAGCTGTGTGAGTATTTGATATACTCGTCGGAAAGAGAACATGTGGATGATGCTTCTTATATGGGGTTAGTTTATTTGGAGCACGATGACCGAGGGTCTCTCAATGCTTCGACTACATTTTCACTAGCAAGGCCAGACCCAATACACCAGACCAGTAACCAAACCAGTAACCAGATCAGTCACGGAAGAAACCCATCTGATATACACCGCATGTTAGTCGGCAGCCAGCCGAGATGATACCTTCACCAAACCATACTGGTAGTGTCATTTCCTGGCATATGGCTGTACGGATGGAACAAACAGATTTGGAGATATCAAGGTCCTTTCCACCACGTGACTCGGTCGTCGTTGGAAACCTGGAAGGTCGTCTGTCGTCCTGTGGCTGAAAACAGAAGGACCCCTACTTTCCATGCCAATATTACCTAAGTCTTGACTCCCGATCTTCACGTGCTCCTGGCTCCTGCAGTCAGGGTCGAGTCCATCGTGTCAACATCAGCCTGGAATCCTGCATCTGGGCCAAAATAGACGTGAAGCCTGGCGCGTGGAATCTTTCCAGGACCAGATATTTGTTGCAACTCGCAATCCTACGATCTCGATCGGCCGATTAACTCGGTCTCCATCGAGTGAGAAACCGCCATGGGTGGGCTTCGGATGCTGCTCAATGTGGACGCTGCTTATGCAAGTCATTTGCGGCTTTGGAACCTCTCGTCTCCTCTCGTCTCTACAGTAAGCCTGACACATTTCTTGCGTGGAGTGGCCCGAGTCAGGTTCCAACGACGCATCGAAGATCGAGAGACTTGTTACGATGAGTGACGAGTTTGCAAAGGGAAGAAGTGATGATGTCGAACGTGTCAATATTAATAGCGCGTACAGCTACCGCTACGAGTACCACACTAGCACCGAGCCATGCTCAACGGCGCACATGCAAATTCCATTTACCTGGCCAGCAGGGCAGAACAATGCGGTGCGGTAGGTACGGTACGGTATCGGATTGACTAGGCTAAATGCAAATCCAGTGACCCAGTTCCACGGCTGTAGGGGTGCTTTTGATACTGTATCTGCAGCGAATATCGAATGTTCTATATCAGGTACGAAAGGTACAAAATCAGGGCCACCCAGGTACTTCAGGGACTTCGTACTTTGTCCTTGATTATATCTAGCAGCTACACCACCGGCACAGCTCCGTCGAGGTAAGTCACGGGACCGCCCACGTGCCGTGCCAGAGCCCGGCCTGGTGCTCGGAAAACAGCGGCTTCAACCCGCGGGGTAAATCTTGTTCCGCTCGCTCTGGGGAGCCGAGGGGATTCAGGGTCTGTTCCTATGGAGCTCACGAGCAGCAATTAATCTTCAATTAAATACAACCTCCTTCATTTGCTTTGTGTAATATTGGTCTTTGCAAAGGATCATTCCCCTTACCCAACTCCTCAAGGTTTAATTCCTTACCAGTTTACCTCAGTCCTTCCTATATCGATGGTTTAGCGGACTACACCCAAAGTCAACATGTCTTCAACCGCCTTATACCGAACCGCAAAAGCATTTTCAAACAAGACCTCCAAAGTGAGCAATCAATCCTTTGAACATGTTAGCCAAAGAGTTAATCTAACTTTCAACAGCATACCATATTGTTTGCTCGCACATTTGCCTCCACTGTCCGGCGCCATGAAATCAACAAAGTGCTTCCTTCGGCAGCAGAAGCCCTCAAAGACATGAAACCCAATACCACAGTATTATGCGGAGGATTCGGTCTATGCGGAGTCCCAGATACACTGATCAACGAAGTCATGAACAAGAAAGATATAACTGGGATTACTGCTGTATCGAACAATGCGGGAACGGACGACTCTGGCTTGGGACAGCTGCTCAAGACTAAGCAGATCAAAAAGATGATTGCAAGTTATATCGGAGAAAATAAGACCTTCGAGAAGATGTATCTCACAGGAGAGATAGAGCTAGAGCTCACACCTCAAGGAACGCTGGCTGAGAGGTGTGCAGCAGGTGGAAAGGGCATCCCGGCTTTCTACACTCCTGCAGCTTTTGGAACGGTTGTCCAGACCGGAGAACTTCCGCTGTTAAATAATTCTGATGGCACACCTAAGCAGTACTCAACTCCAAAGGATGTAAAGGTCTTCGATGGAAAGCAGTACTTGATGGAGGAGAGTATTAAAGGAGACTACGCGTTTGTGAAAGCATGGAAAGCCGACAAGCTTGGAAACTGCCAATTCCGGCTCGCCGCCAACAACTTCAATGGAGCCATGGGTCGAAATGCCAAAATCACCATCGTCGAAGCCGAGGAGATTGTTGAGCCTGGAGGGATTGCACCAGAAGCCGTCCACTTACCTGGCATATATGTCAAGAAAGTAATCCAATCTACGACGGAAAAGAATATTGAGAAATTCACATTTGCAAAAGATCCAAACGATCCTGCCGCAAAAGCAGCTCTTGGAACCGGCGACACGGCGGCTAAAAGAGAGCGTATCGTCAAGCGAGCAGCTAAAGAGTTCAAGAACGGCATGTATGCAAATCTCGGAATTGGTATGCCCATGCTCGCTCCCTCCTTTGTTGGCGCAGATGTAGAAGTTCAACTCCAGTCTGAAAACGGTATCCTCGGACTTGGCCCATATCCTTCCAAAGGTAACGAGGACGCTGATCTCATCAATGCCGGCAAAGAAACTGTGACTCTCAAGCCAGGAGCGGCTGTCTTTGGTAGCGAAGAGAGTTTCGGTATGATTAGAAGCGGTCGAATCGATCTTACCATCCTCGGAGCCATGCAGGTCAGTGGGACGGGTGATCTCGCGAATTGGATGTTGCCAGGCAAGATCAAGGGTTTTGGAGGTGCTATGGATCTGGTGTCGAATCCTAGTAAGACAAAGGTTGTTGTCACCATGGAACATACCGATAAAAAGGGCAATCCAAAGATCATGAAGCAATGCGCTTTCCCGCTTACAGGAAAGGCTTGTGTTAGCATGATCATTACCGAGCTTGTAAGTCACTTTCCATTGAAATTTAAGTAAACAAAAGCTTACCATATATTTAGGGTGTGTTTGAGGTCGACTTTGCCACTGGTTTGACCCTCACTGAAATCGCCGACGGCGTAACAGTCGAGGAGATCAAGAGTAAGACGGAAGCACCATTTAAAGTCGCCGATGATTTGAAGCCTATGTTGTAGATTTGCTGCATCTATTGAGCGAGCCGGCGTTATATAGCATTGAGGGTTTGGGATAAAAGCGTAGGTGTTGTTAGATATACCAATATGTAAATTTCAACGATTTTCCATGCTAGCATTCCCAGGGTGCTTTCTCTTCTCTTCACGCAATTCATCTCGTGATTTCTAGGTGCGAAAATGATTCCATGTGAGAATTGATATGAAGACCGGATATCGCATGTCGCGATTTACTGGTGTATTACAACTAACGAGGTATCTCGACATGATAGAATGACAACCCATTCGACCCAAAAAGCTAGATTTACTCAAACAAATTGAATAAATAGCGACGTTTTCTCTTTCAAGGCATAACATGCGAATTGAGGAAGGTGCGTTGGAAAGGAATGGGCTACGGCATACGTTTTGGAATCAGTTACAGGGCATTTTGGTCCGATGAGAAGGTTACTACTTAGACACGGACTCAAACTCAGACAGCGCTATTAAGGATGTTCCTAGTCTTGGATTTGATAATAACGTTGAGGATTTCTCATTACTTTCTGACGAGCCTTTACCCTCTCCAGCAAAATCATCCAAGCTTCCTCTTCATCCTAAGCATGTTACAACAGAGGTAGAAGAAGATGGAGATAGAGAAGGAGGAAGAGACCTAGTTATGTAGTACGGACCAAATATTGGGCACTTCTGAGCTTTTGCATGTATTTTAAACGGGTCACTTCGTTACTAGCTTAATAACAAGCTATGTAATGTATTGTAGTTTAATGAATTCTACAAAAGATATAGCTAAAAACAAGAGCTAAATTACCGATATTAAGAAAATAGTAGTTATAAGTAGTAGAGGTAATAATTAAGCTAATCTTAGCTCGAAAGATCAAATTTCTTTATATTCATAGCCTGCCAGGGCACCAGAATATTATCATATCTTCGTAACGATGCCGTGCCTCGACCACTATTCTCGTCTATCCTTTTCAAGCACCAGCTGTAAACTTTATTCCATAACTCCTACGCTTATACCCTGTACCTCAAAGCAACTCACCTCATTCCGTAATTCAGGTCAAGCCTGCTCCCCACCCTTCGTCAAGATAACACATCTGACATCTACCATTCCACCCTCCTCCCCACCAACGCCTCTTCTAACCCACTCCTCCCTCAATGCCTCCCTAGCCCTCTCAGCACTCCACCTCAAATCGCTCCTCCACTCCGGCATCTCCAAAAAGCCAAACTCCCCTTCAAACCCTCTACCGAATTCCACAACCATCAACACCTCTCTCAACCCTTTCATTCCCGCAAGCACTCCTAATAACCCTACCTCGCTCAACTCGCGCCAACATCTCGAGTCTAATGCCAACGAAGTGATCTTATGCCGAGACGGCGACGTCGAGAGGTGATATAAGAACGTTTGCGAGAATGTCGTAAGCAACGGGTGTAATCCACTTATATACAACGTCGTCTGCTCAAAGCTCAAAGGAATCGAAGTACTCGGCGCGCAGAAGAAGTTCGGTCCAATAGCCAGATACTGGTACGCATAACGTTTCAAAGCATACTCTCGAGCCTCTGAGCAAAGGGAAAGAACCACGGGAGGCGCGCAATTGGAGATATAGCGGTCGAGAGAGGGCGAGAAGGATAGCTTTAGGATTCGTGAGGTGTGGGTGTGCGAGGGGAGGGGAGATGCGGTGTGTGTGTGGATGTGGGCATAGATTTGGAGACGGAGTTCGGTTGGGAGATTGGGGAAGAGGAGGAAGGCTTTTGCTATAGGTCTTTGGGTCAGTGTCGTTGAAGTTAGAGAATTGGCCATTGTGTTGAGGATTGAACGTATTGTCGCGGGGTGGAGTGTAGGTGAGTGTACGTGGTAGAAGAAGTCTGGCCGAGGCCTCTTTGAGTTTGATAGAGAACGAGAAGATGCTGTGGTTGTCAAAACAGTTTCAAACCCTCCTATCTACCTCCAGCTGCTGTGATAGCCGACAACTGATACGGATGTGTTAGTATGCATTGTGACGAACGTATTAATGCCACGCGAAGACCCACGGAAGGGCGGGTTGCGGGGTTGTTAGGGACGTTCATCCCACTTCGTCACCCACGTGACTGTATCTGGAGTCTCCAATCGACCTCGAGGAGTGTTGGAAATAGGTTGCATGGAGAGTGCTACGACGCCTAGTTAGTCATTACCCCGAAAATCTCAATATTGAGATTTGCCATCGCTTTAGTGTGCCGTGCCCCCGGTCATGGCGGGGATATATGTCCATTGAAGCCAATCGAAGCGCAATATCGTTATTTACAGTACATACACAATGCTGCTATTTACAACCCGGAATGAAACCTTCAACTCCCGCTTGTCTATGCGTGAATCCAAAACATGAATAATGCTTGCCCAATACAACTAGTCTCCTTTCCTAGGACAATGACAGGAATCACGCAAAGCGTTAGAGTACAAAAATCCTACCACAATGTGAATATACAAAATCTAAGCTCAAGACGGATTGTCTATTTCGGCCGCTTAAAGGGGTGTGCTTCAGTGTTCAGCACCCAGTCGTCTAAACTGATGACATCGGGAGTCGCGTAGAGCAGATAGAAATACTTTAAGGTTTCAGCAAGCCAAAAGCTCTCCATCTCATCGATATGAGTCACGTTCTTGGACGTAACGTCAATGATCGCAGAATTTCCGTGTATCGTACTGGTAGCATTTCGGATCGACTCAAACATTTTCCATCCTTTTGCTTGCCAGCTCTTGTCGCCAGTGATACGATACATATACCACACGGACTCGATTGCCTCCGGTCTAAAGGGAAGGGTTAGTCTCTTCTGTGTCATAGCATAGATTATCACATTCGGCCTACCTGAGAATATACTTCCTCGACTTTATTAGAGTGTAGCCAGCAGGTAACGAATCCTGCTTGATCCGGCTCGCAATGTACTCAGCATGTGTCAGCGGTTTTGATGGGTCCAATAAGGCTTCCTCGTTTGACGGAAGAAGAGGTTCTTCTTTGGCGTAACCTGTCCCCGAAACGGCCTTCAGTTCGGCTTCTGTAGACTCCAGTTTCTTCTGCAATTCCAAGTCTGTGGACGATAATTGCGTTGTCGTCTTAGCCGCAAGGGGTGGGGTGACCTCATTTTGGCGTTTCTGCAATGGCAACGATTCTTCTTTCTTCAGCGTCTCAGTCGTTTTACCATCGCTAGGCTTGCCAACCTCCGATGTTGCCTCGGCTTTGAGTTCTGCAGCAACTGAAGCATCTATCTGCGCTTGCTTCTTAGCAGCGATTTTCGCCTCTTCTTCCTCCTTCTTACGCGCTGCCTTATTTGCTACGTACTGGGCTACGTCTTGATCTCGCGTCTCCGCAAGTGGATCAAGCGCGTGGTGATAAGCTGTCTCATTCCAAGAACATTTTTCAGAGCTTACACAAGGTAGCACAAGTGCTCCTTCTGCCATGATTCCTGTTGCGGTTGACTCATATGCCCAAACGCAACCATCTGTGAGCTTCTTTGCGATCTCCAAGTCCGCGTCAATACCAAATACTTTAGCTCCCATTCCGACCATTCCGCCAATGAAGCAGGTCAAATGTTCCACTTCTGTTGTAAGCACACGATCTTGATCTCGTGTTGATGGGTATATGTCTAATGAGCCGGAGAAAAGAATGTCAGGATCGCCAGGTACCATTGGCCGATAAAGCATGTGCTTCCGTACAGCCTGCATCGTAAGATTGTACATTTTGCGATATTTGGTCTCGAGCCCGCCAAGGAGGAGGTATTGCTAGATCTTGTTAGCATTGATGTAATGACAGAAACCAGGGAGACAACAGGATCTCAAAGACACAGAGATGACTCCCACAGAAATTTGTTTTCACTGTGATATGCCAAAACAATGCTATATAACAATTGTTTCAACAAACCACAGAAAGCAAATTCTTGTTCTGATGAGTTCTGACACGGTGAAGGTTCAATACAATGTTTCACGTACCTTTGTAAAGTATTCATAAGTGGAATCTTGGCCACCCCCCATGGAGTATGAGTCCGCGCCAGTTGAAACAAGACCTTGAGGCTTGCAAATGTCGCCGGCAGCATCTTGGAGTTGCGGTGAGCCATCTGCACCAGTCGAAAGAGGAAGCCCTGTTAACGGGTGCGTTGGGGTAGTTGGTGTCGGTTTCTCTGACTGGGGCGTGTTTTCTTCTGTATGGCCCTGGATGAGTTGCCTCTTCACTTGCCCTTTCACATCCGGCTTCTGTTCCGCGGGCTTTGGGTGAGATTCACTCCAATCCTTGATGTGGCCCTTGCTCGGTTCCCCGGGTGTGATTTCAAATTGTAGCATCTTATCATCGGTGGTCGGTCGCTTCTGCGGTATAGGCTCCTTTACATTTTTGGTTTGCGGAGGTTCATAACCTACAGGCTCCTCGGCCAAATCAATCGGCTGGTTTGGATAATTTGGACTATTCATTGGTTGCGAGTATATCATATCAGCGGTGCGATTACACCCCGTAGCATCCACATTGCCTGGAAACACGCCGTACAGTGACGTGCCCCGATCTTGCCACTCATCCAAGGCATCTGTTACACGGGCAACAGCATCATAGTATCGAGGATCGTTGGTCAGTTGAGCCAGTCGAGTAAACTCCAGCGACAAGGAGCCGAGCTCGGCCAGATTCGATCTCCCACTAGCACGATGTGCTTGAGACGCAAATGTTGGTTTCCAATAGTAATAAAGTACAGGCATTCTATTGGGAGTGTCAAAGGCTCCCATTAACACCTCGGCCAACTCAACAGCTTTATCCAGTAGGTTCTTATACTTTCCACCGCTGACATCGTACGCTGCTAGAAGACCACCCAGGTAGCGAATGGTAGTTTCAAACATGGGAATGTCGGCTCGAGGCGATGTCGTAAAATCAATTTTGTCAACCGCTCTGGCCGCTTCGTCAAATTCATTCTCCAGGCCCATGATCCAAAGCGTATCGAGAGTATCAACGAGAGTAGCAGCCCATCCACAAAAGGGGTCTCTAAAGTTTCCAGTCACCGGAGACAATTCGTCATGAAGCCAAGCATGCTTTTTGTATCCCCTCCATGCCTTCTGAAATTCGTCTCGCACTTGTGTCTTCTTCATCTCCCGTTCTATCTTCTCGTTCGGTGTCTCGTCATCAAAGGCATACTGAATAGTAGGAATTCGAAGGGGCCTGCCAGTTGGCAGGTGAATCAAAGATTCAGTAGGTACGGGGAAATGTTCCTTCTGCTTGACCCAATGAATAACCTCTTCTGGCGACTCCGGTAACAACGGTTGTTCCTGTCTTCCAGGCGGATGAAGAGGATGAATGTCGACCGAAGTACCATCTTCGGTTATAACGCTCGGGGGAGGTAGCTTTCGATCTGGAATAGCTAGTGGAGGAAGAATTGAAGCAGGTTGGGGTTTGTTGTGCACCGACTGGGGCTGCGTGAGAGTTGCGCTTTTCTGTGCCTCCTTGATGGCAGTTGCTTGAGGTGGAGGAGGTGCCGTCGTTGACTTGGGTTCGTTTACCAATGTCTCACTCGTAATCTGCGGCCGAGGAATGGATTGTTTCTGCTGGCTTTGTGTTTCGGGTTTAACTGGCTCTTGTACCTCATTGCCCTTGTGCTGCTGAGTAGCCTTCGAAATCTCCTGCTCTACCCATTGCTTATTCTTGGACAGGCGAACGAAGAGGAAGATGATGACAACCGCAAAGAATAGAAAGACACGATAGCGCCTCAAGCGCAGCATCTTGACTGCGTTATTGCGCTTTGCGAGAAACGACCATGTACTTTACGTATAATCTGGTGGACACGCGATCGAGTTCTCAAGTCCATATCATTGCTTCGGGGCCAGCATCGTTTCCAGAAGTGTCAATTAGGGTATTGGGCACATCAATGCCGTCGCGATGAGAAATTGAAACGTAATACAGAGGGAGAAACAAGAAAGGCAAGAACTGGCATATTTCGACAGAAAAGAACAGACTGCAGCACTAACTCTCGTGGTGCCCAGGTGGTCACGGAGTCGAGGGGCTTGGATGTGCCAAGCCAATGGCAGGACCCTCGCTTCGGATCCTGAGTGAGCAGCCGGCTTAGGTAGGGGACCAGATGGTTTACGGGTACAAGTGGACCTTGAAAGCAGAGCTTCCCTGGCTCCACCACCAAATAAACTTGTAGATTCAAGTTATTCTCTATCATTCCCTCGTATGATACAAATATTCATTCACTCATTTATAAGAAGTATTATTGTTAAGCTTTATGAGTTGAGCTTTTGTGTACTGCTCTTGATTCACAATTGATGTAATATTTGCCTATTGGGGAAGGTGTGGGATACATGCACGATCCACCCGCTCCAGAACTAAGGCCGAGTAGAGTACTCTCAGTAAGGAAACTAGTTGATACAACAGGCTTGAGCTGCCGTTGACATGGCCTGGATTCATGAACCGGCTAGCCGGTATCAATAACACACATTTTGAGCAAGTAAGTATAGTATTCAAAGATATCTATCACTTACATTGATACAAAGAGGACAGTCTATAGCGCTATTGGCTACACTATTGTTGACCGGTCTTGTGAGCAGAACTTTGAGATCCCCCTGATCAAGATCGGCTACCTTGACAGCTGTCGAAAGTGCGGGGGAATAGAGTGCCAAGATGCGAAGTGTGAATTGCCAAAACCATCATCCATGGCAAAACTTTTGTTCCCATATTCGCTTTTCATTCACACATCCTACGCGGCCGTTCTATATTGATCTTCCATACAGGTTGAGTGTTGTACAAATATGCAGCCCCACCTCGCACGCCCAGGCGCCGAGACGCTCATTATGCCAAATCAGCCCATACATATTTGGGAAAGGAAATCATGATTGCGAAACTCTTTATTCATCCATCCCGGGACCTGGGTTGGCTTGCCGGCCCATCTGTCGAGCTTTCAACATCTCGTCGCAAAGAAGAAGGTTTGAAGCAATGCCGGAACTGGATGCCATCGCATTGCGAAGCACCCTGAAAGAGTCGAAGACGCCTTCGAGGACCGGGTCCATAGGCTGGCCCGTCTTGAGGTCCAGACCGACAACGTTCCCCTCTACCTGCTCGTCTTGGAGGCTAGCAACTGTTTTTAAGGTCAGTTAGTTACTTCAGTGTTTACAGATATTCACAGCACTTACGAGCGTCTTGGACATCATGGCCAGCGTTGGCTGCCAATGTTTTTGGAATGATGAGCATTGCATCGGCAAATGCCTGTACTCCCCACTTAGCCTTTCCCTTGACGGTTTTTCTAAATGCTTCACTATTCAAGTGAGCTGCCAAAGCTACCTGGAATGCACCGGCACCGGGAACAACGCTCCTATCCACGATCATGTTGTAAACACTGCGTAGCCCGTCTCGCACGGCGTCGCTTATTTGAGAGATTGTATGCTGGTTAGGTCCCTTGATAAGGACAGTAACTGATTTCGGGTCTTTGACATCCTCAATAAATGTGTACTTCTCTTCACCAAGTTGCGTTTCATACACCAGACCAGCCCAACCAAGGACTTCAGGTGAAAGATCATCGACACTATTCTGCGAAGATCCGCCAGTGATCAGTTGTAATCTCTCCATGTTTCGTCTCTTCGCGCGTCTCAACGCGTAAATGCCATTCTTTTGTAGAACATCCAGTGACAGAGGATCAATTCCCTTCATGTTGACAATGACAAATCCCTTCTTGGGGTCATTACCGCAGACTTCCTTCTTCAGCTCAACAATTTTTCGCAGTTTGTCGTCTACATGACGTCTCTCGCTTTCGACAAGCTTGTCCCTCTGCTCAGCGCTCGAGTAGTAGAATCCGGAGTTGATTTCTGATTTTTCGAATTCCAGACTGACATTGAGAGCCAGAATGAAGGCATTCTCAAGTCTCTTGGGCATGTCAGGGTGTCTAGCTCCGTGGTCCAAAGCGAGTCCTCTGATAAGTTGGGTTTCGGAAGCGGTTCGATGCTGCATCTTCATGATTTCGATCATGTGTAGGTCCGGTTTCGCGGGAGCTTGGTAAATCGCAAGAACCGCATCGACGATATCCGGAGTAAGTTTCTCGGCGAGTGTGTGGTTGAGTTTTGTTGAAAGAGATGTGCGTGCGACCGATAAGAGTAATTCGCGGTCTACCTCTTTCTCGAGCTTGAAAGTATCTAAAAACTGTATACCGTTAGCAATAGGATGTTCACGCGAGGGTCCAACTATATACCTTCAAAGACTCAGTCTTTGCAATTTCATACCCGTCCGTAATTATCCTAGGATGTAACCCTTCTGAGATATAACGGTTTGCCTGCTTTAAAAGCTCACCAACTAATAACACTACTGATGTTGTTCCATCGCCACAGATATCATCTTGTGCCGTGGCTGCTCGCGCAATCATTACCGCGGTTGGGTTCTGGATCTGCATTTCTCGTAGGAGAACGTTTCCATCTTTCGTAAGTTTGATCTGGTGGGTGACGCTCGTTAAAAGGAGTTCGCTGACAACTTGGGTGTTATAGTACCTTTCCTGCTCCATCCACCAGCCTATCGAGAAACGTCAGTTAAATACATAGCGGAGTTGTTAGCTTGCGCACATCTTAATAGTCCCTAAAGGACCTAGATTTGACTTCAGAACATTTTGAAGTCCCTCACCGGCGGCGATATTAACAGCTAAAGCTTCTCCTCTCCGCTAGGCTGTGTTAGTATTTATGTTCTCCTTTAGAGCTTTACAACGCACCCTTGATTCAGCTTTTGGGTTCAGAAGCTGCGCGGCAGACATATTTGCGGTCCTGGGTATCTGAGGGGTTGTATATGAGGGGTTGGAAATTATCAGACGAAGTTATAAGAATTATCTCTGCTCGACACTTTTTTCTGCCACAACACGCGAAGCGCGAGGCGATAGCCAATGATGATTACGGCGGGCGCTAGCGGCTGGTCGCGCAAGGCTACATTATTATGACAACCGAAACCACCTGCATCACGACTACCCCCCTGTAACGAGCATCAATGTCCCAGACAACCTCGAAGATTTCTCTGGGCAGCTTCACGTCAAAATGCATGCAGGCTGGAACCTCGTGGCAATTGTGTCGCTCTTTTATGGAAATGCTTTAGGTTTCTTTTGGCCGTTCACAGCTTTCGCAGCTCCGTCCTCTGTCGCGGCCGTCCCAAGCGCAGCGCCAAAGAGGGTGGCCATTATTGGTAAGTCCATATCGATCTTGTACCCTAGATGCCATCATAGTTCGAGATGAGGATGAGAAAGGAGTGAAATATGCTTCCTTTCGCTACCACAGCCTATAATTCCTATGAGACTCCGTTCGTCAGCACTTGCGTTCCAATTTGTCTGGACCTCGCCGTCCCGGGTTGTCAGCTCTGCATCACATCGTGGCCACTCAGAGTGACGAGGATTCAAGCTCGTGTCATTAAGGATTATTAAACCTCAGGAGACGAGTTCGGATTTCGACTCAATTTTCAGGACAGAACAACTCCATAATTTGCAGGCTAACCCTCTGTAGGTGCTGGAGCAGGTGGGTCTTCCGCCGCGTATTATCTTCGACAATTTGCGGAACAGTCAGATATTGATATCGATATCACTGTCTATGAGAGAGCGTCGTATATTGGTGGTCGCTCAACGACTGTGAATGCGTACAATGATGCTCGCTTTCCTGTCGAACTTGGTGGCAGCATTTTCGTTGCGACAAATGAAATTCTGAAGAATTTCACTTTGGAGCATGGCCTTGAACCTCAAGACTCTGGAACAGAATATAGTGATGTTCTGGGCATTTGGAATGGAGAATCTTTTGTCCATACCATGAAAGACAGCGGCTGGCAGTGGTGGGACAACACGAAGTTGCTGTGGAAGTATGGGATGGCTCCTATCAAGACAGTCCGTCTAATGAAAGTCGTCGTGGGAAAGTTCAAGCAGCTTTATACAGCCCCGTTCTTCCCTTTCCGATCATTGTCCGACAGGGCAGAAGATCTCGATCTACTTCCAGCGACCGGTGTTACTGGGGAACAGTATCTCGAAAAGAATGGAGTAAGTAGACTTACTCCGAAGTATCGTTATTCTCTTACATTTATAGATAACAGGTCCGTTTACGACCGACATAATCCAAGCGAGCACACGCGTCAACTACGGGCAGAATCTAGGAGTTATTCATGGGTTAGAAACTATGGTGTGCATGGCAATTGAGGGTGCGATGTCGGTCAGGGGTGGCAACTGGCAAATCTTTGACGGCATGTTAAAATCATCAAACGCTACAATCAATCTCAACACTACTGTTGATGCCATCTCTAAGGTCAACGGTAAGTACGCTGTGCAATCTACACTACTAGGAGCATCCGCGTCCACGACCAAGCATTATGATACCGTCATTCTTGCGGCACCTTTCCAGTACTCTGGCATCAATGTCGAGGAGGGTGTCCTTAGGAAGACACCAGACAAAATACCCTACGTTACTCTCCATGTTACTCTTTTCGCTTCGAATCGCACCTTCAGTCCCAAGTTCTTCGGTCTTGGCCCAGATGCCGATGTACCAACCACCATCATAACCACTCTTCCTCCTGGTGAAGTTCCAGCTCGTCCAGAAGACGGCGTGGGTAAGGCAGGCTTTTTCAGTATGAGCACTTTACGTTCTGTCATAAACCCAGTCACTTTGCAAACGGAAAATTTATACAAGGTTTTCTCGCCTGCGCCTGTAACTCCAGAATTTCTTGCTAAGGTGTTCGACGCGGAAAGTAAGTGAACTCGGCTAGTGATAACCAAGTATTCTCTAACAATCTATAGTACCCAGCAATCTAAATAACATTAGTGCTTCTGATAGCGGCGTCATTAGTTGGTACTATCCTCATGTCTGGCACTCATACCCCTATGAATATCCCCGTGTTACCTTTGAAGACTCGGAAATCGCGCGAGGCTTTTACTATACAAGTGGCATGGATTCCTTCATATCCACAATGGAGACGAATGCTCTTATGGGAATGAACGTGGCCCGATTGGTCATGGACGATTTTCTCGAATTTCTACCACAAAGCGGTACCGAGGCAGGTGGTCAAGTTCCAATCCAGGTAGAGCGGAAGGAGAACGAATTGTGAATAGATGCCCAGAGGCTATTCGATCAGCATCCATTATTGGGGTGTAGTTCTTCTGACTTTGTCTACTTTAATCTACACAAATTTGTAATTTTGATTTGGAGTTACCTATGGGATTTATCATATTATGCAGCGCACAATTTATTCTCAATCTCCGCAGCGAAAAATTCTTCCTTGTGATACGTTACTCATTTAATATGGATTCACATATGTATCTAGTTAGCGCGATGGGCGTCAGTCGTTGGCATGTGTTATGCATTGCTTAATTTAAAGGAGACGTCATAGTGCTTGTAGTTGAAAAATTACAGGATGGCAATTACAGATGGCTGTACCTAGTCTAGCAAGTCAGACTAGTCTGTGTTCACCTGTGTGGAAATTTGAACTTTCTTTATAGCCCAATCTACCACTTGCTAAAATACATGCATCGCGATTTCTCCATTTTCAAATACTGTAGCCAGAGTCATCGAGCAAGGTTTTGTGGATTCAGGATTGTGTCCAAAGCGAGCTTGTTATGCGGCCACAATTTTAATTTGATACAAGTCGACTCTGCTGTTCCTGTTCAACATAATCAGATGGGAGGACTGATTGTACTGCAAAAAATCGAGCGGCTTTCTTTTCCGCGTAAGTCTTGAGGGTTTTATTTCTTGAACCCTTGAAATAGGTACAAACCAGCGTCCTGTACTTATCCCGTTTTGAACATTCAAGTCCTGCCAAAAGAGCAGCTCATGAAGGGTTGCCAGTGACGACCGAAGCGTGTAGCACGCAGACGAGTTAATAGTACAGAATCCATGAATAGCAAGTGCTGTTGGGTTGCAGAACTTTCAAGGTGAAATCTGAGCGTTTAATCATAATAAACAATGGTGACAAAGAGCAAAGCTGATCGAATGGAAAAAAGAATCGAAAACCCGGAAATAAGGCTAATCGGCCTAGTAGCTTCGCTCGAGCCTGTGGGTTGTAGAAATGAGGTGCTGAAATAACTCAATGAATACACGAGAGCTCTAGTAATTTGGCTGTGGCTTTGCGGCACTGGATGTAAGACCCAGCCAGGACAACGCAATTTTGGTGTGCGATGCTTTTATCATCATCTGGGAAAGTTGTTGGATACCATGATCGAGGCTCTGTATATTTTTCTCTCTGTCTCGTTGCTCAAACGTGCGGTTCGTCAACAGGCCGCGAATCTTTTCAAAATGTACTTGAGTTTGATTGACAATCTAAATGCCGGGCGGGCGGCTCACACAAAGAGTCCAACTGGAGTCTCAAATTCGTAATTAATGGGTTTGAATGACTACCGAGGACCCGAGATTATACTGTTTTGGCAGAGTTTTCGTGGAATGAATTACAATGCAACTGCAAAACTTCCACTGTCAGTAGAGATGGATCGATGAGAGTCACAACCTTGTCTACTTCCGTGACCAATTCATATAGCACATTGGTGTATCACATTATCATTCACTATAAATATTGTCTGTGGGGCCTGTTTGGATTTAGTGCTACATTTCAAAGTCGAAATGTCCTCGCTTGGTTTCTCTCCAACATTCAGACCATGTAAATTTCAAGGTACTCTATGCTGGGCGGATGCACGTAAATACCTGGATCGGATACAACTGAGATTGCTCTTACATATAGCAGAGTATGTTTCCCTTGTTCTCTTCTATCATCCGCATTAACCTGGTCTCTCTTTTACTTGGGCTCCCGTGGTCATGCAGCGTGGTATTTTTGCAATTTGGGCCAAATATTCCGCGTAGGAACGCGAACTTGATATTTCTGCTCGCGTTATGTTTGAAGAATTCGAGATGCGGTAATTACATGCCACTGTTGGCTCCGACACTATAACTATCATACCACCGCATCAAATTATAGATTCCTTCAATATCAACAGCTCCAATGCATTGTTAAGATAGTACTCTTTCATGTAGCATGCATAGAAAGTTGTACTGCCTACTTTAACATGTTTCCGTTATTTTCAACTGAAGTTTCGGATTTCAGGCTCCTATGTGACTTCCTGTCTTTTGGACTGTCTCTGCCTCGAGTGGAAGGAGCTCACATTCGCTTGTCCGTACTTTGAACGAGCTTGCTCATTCCGATCACTGGACTGACTGGGCTGCAGTCATTCTATGAAGCATGCAACACGCTCCGACACAAAGTTAAATAAATGAATGATTCTGTGGCTTGGTCTAGTTCGATATTCATCTTCACACTAACCCATGCGAATGCTATCGGGCAATGGTCTTGAAGTAGATGACTCACCGTACCTTCTTTTTTAACCCAATGAAACCAAATGATCGCTATCCTAGCCACGTTTCAGGCACCAGACACCTTGTTATTTATACTTAAGCAAAAATAGTCACGCCTAGCCGCACGCTCAGTAACCTGCATCAAGGTCGGGGTCCAGACTAAGCGATTTATATACTTTCCGGCATGCGTTCAAACGGGATATTCACACCCCGGACCTGACAGCACCGATTAGTGCAATGCAGGGTTGTAGAAATCAAATTATAAGTCACAACCCCAGATTGAGTTTCCGTTCGGTGGGGGTAGGTCCATAGCACCATCTACTGCAAAAACAAGGCACAACATATTGTAGCGAGATGCAGCTAACTTGTTAGTTAAATTGCTCTAAATCTAGACAGCATCATGTTCAAGCCAATCAGCTTTGGAAGATGGTTGTTTATCCTAAATTGACCGTTGAGATAGTGAAACGTGTCGGCTGTTGACATAACCAAGTTAGTTGGCGGAAATCTGGATTGTAAGTGCTTTCGTCCCCGGATGGACAGTAACAATCAGATGTAATGCTCTATACTAAAGTCATTCCTCGCGAATCCACGCGGCCATCGTCATGAATGTAATGCTAGAAATGGACTTAAGTCAAAATTGGGCGTTGTCCGTGCTTGAATCCTCAATCATAGCAAAGTGCGTTTCGACGGTTTGGTTTATCAACATATACATTTCTCCTTTCGGAACTACATATATTCACCCACCCACTGCTAGGCAAACAGTCATGAAGAGCAGATGGTCCGCTTGATTAAGACGCGAGGATACAAGACAGCTTTGAGACTCTAGATAGTAAGCAAACTGTAATATGTATAGAGAACGCCTGGTTTACAGGCTGACGCTACGGATTTGAGCGATCTTTGCATGTTTAGGAGACTCGAATGGTCTGAATGTTTTGCATGTAAAGTCTTACGCCATATATCAAAGATTGCTCAATCTAAAATTTGAACGGAATTGGAGAGTTAGGCCGCGCCAAGATATTATTTGCGTAATGTTCCCAACGCCAAATCAGAAACTCGTGAATAGGTTCCAGCAACATTTTAGATTCAGTGATACCGACTGCTAGTAGCACCTAATTTCTTTCCGTCCTCGACTAAATGAGGTGACGTACTGGTCTTGCTAAATCACCTTCACTGTGAACTACGTGTGGCAATGAGATTGCTCAGTAGCTCATCGGAACAGAGTGATGTGTCTTCCCTAAAAATCACAAGCACAGCAAACGAATCCTCGTTCCCGCCTACTTTGTCAAGAATCAAGATAGGGGTCATAAATAACGGCCGCGTAGCTTAAGGAGGCATATACCCATGACCTCGGTTTCTTCTGTGCGAAACTACATGATTTGCCATCAATTTGCGTACGTCCACGGCTATTTTCCATGGTCCAAACGCTCAACCTCGCATTACGCTTACGTTTCTTCGAAAATTGGTGAAATGACAGGTACCCTCTGCAACTCCAGACATTCAAGCTCACATGAATCCGAGATTTGAAACTGTGCGCTATCCGGCGTTTCCTTCAGTTGCAGATCTGACAGTTTTCTTTTAACGCTCATAGGACAGCCGCTCGGTAACGGCCAAGTAAAGAGATTCGTTATTTTCCGCAGAAATGCATTAGAAGATCAGTCAGAGTGAAGAGCGTTAGGAACATGGACACAACACGATGAATCACTACACATATAATGACAGCCTACTCTACCTGGTGACGCCTGAAAATATGCTCAAATGTTATACAAAACAGTAGAAGAATCTTGCATGTCCAACATCATAGGTTTATGGGTCAATGTGCGTGATACTATATCATCCCAACAGGATGAGATTGTTCAGAACGGGGGTTTCACTACTTCTATGGCAACGCGATTGCAGGACACTGATCACTACGTCAAGCAAGCGAACATCGAACCAAAAACTGACGAGCAAGATTTTCAAAACGATTCGGTAACTGAACCATTTCAAATGTTATATATGGGTAAAGACAAAATTAGCGGACCACAGTCCACAGTATCTCATTTTAGTACGACAAACTTTACCATGGAATTTGGAAATCGGCTAGCAGTGCATACTAGGCCCTCGGTTTTTTTTTTTGCTTACCATTGTAGACAGGCATGTTGGTTTACATTACGATGTAGAACAAAATTTGAAGTGCTTTGAAATCGCATTCATCGATAACCCTAAGCGACATCCCCACAACCGCCCCTTTTGGGAGCATGTCGAGCGGCTCAAATGGAAACCAGTAAAAATAGCATCCCACACCGAAATAGATGCATTGGGTGATCATCTCAATCCATTACTTAAAGCGTCGATTTCTAAGGAAACCAAGAGGTCATCAAATCTCTCGAGGATATCCAATCGCATGTCTGATGTGGCATCGCCAGCAAGAACATTCGATTTCTCGCTTAGCTTGCTGATCGCTTGCCGATCACCCCCTTCCAGCCACACCCCTTTTTTGCTTAACGTCAACATGTGAAGATCTTGACTGACTTCCGATGTGACTCGTTACATCTGCAGCCACATCCAGAAAATGTTTGGTAGATCACTAGCCACAGGACCCCTATTTGCGTATGAAGCTGTGGCTGTGCAGTTATAAGTTTTACCTAGCTTATTTTCGTGTCCACACATTGCATCATCATTCACCTGGTTGGTAGACTAACCCAATGTCTATTCATAGCCCGACCCCAAAGGGAGAGATACGCAACTTGCCGAACCGAGATCATCCCGTTTTTGCTTTCTGGCCGTCATAGCCACAAGAGATCACCACGACCACTCTGCTCTGGAAGAGTCTATTCCACGTGCTACCTGTGGCTCAACGCTTCTGTGCTGTAACCATCCAGCACAGGTGAGCATGGGTCTTGACTACACGTTGTACCCCTCGTCTGGATACGCTATGTTGAATCCGGCAAGAGGGGTATCGGCACAGAGATGCTGCTCGACGCTTGCTGATGCACCGACCGGGCATTGCATCCAGAGATCACAGGTCCCAGCCCAGCACCAGCATACAGCTTATGCATGTGGGTTGACGATTTGACCGCCGAGAGAAAGAGGGACGTTGCTGTACGGTGCCGGTTCTCCGCCCTTTCGCGCCTCTGTCGTCTCCTGCGCACTGAACTGCATTTCTGTACTGCACATGCCCGATGGTCCCTTGCTTATAGTATAGCCGCCCACCCGTACCTATGGGTGGACGAGTAGGAAATAGCAAGTTCCTGCACTTGCAATTTGGCTACCTCTCGGCCCCTTATCCGAATTGTACCTAGACACGCGGATGAACGTGAGGAGTAGCAAGTGTGGCTCAAAGCAGCGAGCGACCAAGATCATGTCCGGCCTTTGAAAGAGGACGTCTCTTGGGCAACTGGCCTAGCGTAACATTCCCAGGTAGAAACCGAGAAGTTTACTGGCTGGCTGTCCCCGGCAAGCTAACTTTACTTGTATGTACGGTGTAGGCACTGTACCTAGTTGGGATGCCACTCGCCACTACTAACTGGATATCGCAGTTTTGAGGACGATCACTTGTGGCTGAAAACACTTCAACGTCAAGCTAGCAAGTTCCGATACCAACCTCTCAATGGTAGCGTCAAGTATGAAGGAAGGTTCGGCAGATGAGCATGATCGATGATGAAGGACCTAGTGTACTTACCATGTTAGAGAGACGTACTATCAGTCTGCATTGCTCAACGTGCTTGGATGACTCTTAGATGTCATTGTGTGTGATCAGGTGAACGATGAGACGAAACGACGGGAACTGAAGAGTAGAAGTCTGTGATAATGTTTTTTATTATATGGTATCATTATTTCGGTATCGCTGTGCTACGGTAGAGTCCAATAGCATGCTAGTCGTGGCCTAATAGATCGAGTAAAATGCCTTGCCGAAGCCCTATGTTCATTCGCCCATTATATTTCGATAAATAACTGTATATGATAATGCGTAAATGAAAGATTTGGATAGAATCGAATATTTTCGTCATGACATTCGATAAACAGGTCTGGTAACCCGGAAGATATGTAGTCCTTCACAATGATCACCGTCGCCTGAAACCTTGCGAATGTGCAACTTCTAATAAAAGCCATTGCAAGGAAGGATATTGAGACAAGTTGTTCCACAAGGAACTGGTATCTTTGAAGAGAATCGACGCCCCGGAGTTGGTCACAGCCAATTTGTGCCACAAAACCATTGAAAAAAAACCGTAACTAGTACATGACCATCCCAAGGTCGTCGGGTATAGGGAATATGTGCGTCGAAAAGAAAATTATTAAAACATGAGGCGAATTTCATAGCCCTCGGTTTGGACCACATTCTGGGATCCTGCCACGTTGTCGCTGTCAACAACAATATCCATGGATATGTCCCATTCTCGTTTGACGGGAGACTGGTTTTTGACCTGTGCGATTTCCATGATAAGATCCTGTCCTTCGGAAAGCTCGCGGATAACGTCATCGTCAAGTTCAACTTCCAGACCACGGTCGAGCACACGAATAATTCGGAGGATCCTGGTTGGTTCCAAGTTCCACTTAGCAGCAATAGCGTCTCTGAACTCCCTCAGACTACGTTGGGTCAAGTAGACGGCTCGGTAGAATGGGCTCTTGTCTGGCTGAGTAGGATCGCGATACTGGATATAGAAACAGGCGACTGGCTTGATTGGGCGATCATCTGCTGGAGGTTGATACGAGGAGTCCACTCCTAACGCCTCTATCCACCCGCTTAAGCTGCCAGTCTCGTCGTTCTTGGGCACTTTGGTAACCTGGTCCGGATGGCTTGAAAGCTGTTGAGAACTCGAGATGCTACCCTCGACTGGTGCAATTGAATTAAAATCGGGCCATTGACCAGCGGCGTTAGCTGCAGAAGCACCGCTTCTCGTTTGTGATTGCAACGATATCGAACTTGGTGAAGGCGACATGAGGGACGATGTGCCCGTGGTCGAGCTCTGGTCGCTTTTTTGCTGCCAAGAAGTACCGCCTCGAGACTCAACCTTCGTCAGGTCTGAGGGTTCGCCAGCCAATGCTACTGGGTGCAAATCCATATCGTCCTGCTCGGCGCCCCTCAGATACAGCACGCTGACCGGTCTCGTGCTTGTGAACATGTCTTGCATTGTCTGCAGCTTGTAATGAAGATCCTCTTCAATTGGCATGCGTCCGCCAGCTGATGAGGCGGAGGACATCGACCATGTCCTTTTATGTTTGATAACCTTACCAGGCCGCTGGCTAGGTTGGTTCTTGGAGGTAATAGAGCCGGACCTCTTCCGTTTGCCAAAGTCTTTCATACCAGTCTCTGCTTGAGATATCTGCTGCTTGAGCTTATCGATTGTCTTTTTTACATGGGCCACGTCATTCGATAGCTTTCTTTCCGCTCCGTGGTCCCGGAAGAGTTTTACCTTACAAAATGCAACTTCCGAGAATTCTGTGGCGGAGTGTGGTGATCCGGTCGAGATGGTCTCGGTCTTTGCACAAAGGCGAACAGGAATACCCTTCACTCCCTTAGAGTGGCTGAAATCGGTAGATAAGAAGTTGAAGCGGACCGCAATATTACATTCTGCTGAGCCGTTCATACCTGGCGTCCACATGACCGAGAATCCGTCGAAAGAGGCCGTATCGAGGTCCACACGGGTTCTCTTGTCGTCGCTTTCGGCCGGTTGTGTTGCCTCAACATACTCCACGGCCTGTAGCTTGCCTCCCCGCTGGTGCGCTTCATTAGTACCACGGCCCTCCTTCCATAGCTGCCAGCACATTGCGGGTCTCTGACGTTGCTGTTCATCCTCGAAGGAGATGCGCACAAAGGTGCGATATTTTGCTCCCTGAGGGAGGGGCAATGCAGGAGTGGTATCCACGATGGAAATGGAGTAAGCCTGTCCCTTGTTTAGATAAGTAATTGGGATCTCATCGGCATGCTTAATCATTGCTGTTGGAGCATTCAACGTAACGTGGAATCGGAATTTCTCAGCAGATGCAGGCATGGGCGGATTTATGGCCATGTCGTACTGATTCGGCTGGAAAGTCATCACTGGAGAATGGTGGGAGTGGAGAGTTGCTTCCATCGATCCCATTCTCCCCGAGTCCGTCAATGGCGATCCGTCATGTTCCATGGTCTCGTAACCGGTGTCTTGGTGGATGAAGGAGGAAGGAGCAAAGGATGTCTGCTGTTGTTCGTGATGCTGTTGATGGTGGTGGTGGTGGTGAAGTTGCTGCGTTTGGTGCTGGCCAAATGGACTGTAATTGTGAAATTGAGGTGGCATGTGGTGGCCGAAGCCTCCAGACATATCCATCATGGTACTCGCATGGAGTCCGTCTGCAGAGCTCGGCATTGAAAGGGGAGTCCCCAGTCCCATACCTATCCCCAAACTAGGCGTATGAAGGTCTCCAGCTTGGTTGTGATAGAGAGTATTCATACCTCCTGGAGTCGGGGTGTAATACCCTGGTGGCTGATTGGCAAAGTTGCTGAAAGCGAACGAGTTTGGATCGAGAAGCGACGGCGTGAAGCGCCATGGCTCATTTTGGGCCTTGGGTGTCGGATCAAGATCCTTAATCTCATCATGACTGTTGGAATTATTGGTGACTTGGCTAGAAGGGAGGAGAAGAAAGTTAGCAAATATACCAAATCATCCAAATCTGACGACCGCGGATGTTTCACCTACCGACTGGACTGGGCATCGCCCGCTACCATGTCATGAGAGGTAGTTCGGCTTAAGGACCCCGAAGTCGTCGAGGTGACTTCTGGGAAATTCTGACGGAAATTCGCGATGAACTCATCGCCAGGTTTCTGAGACGAAGTTCTGGGAGTTAGATGTTAGCCATTGTCCTACAAATGGAGATGCAAGTATATCGCGCAACGGCCGAGGGAACCCTCCGACCACTAACTGCGGCTACGACGAGCACGTTACACCCCCCACCATTCAAGAGATCTGTTGCTTACCGGTTTCGAAACATCTGGAGGTACGTGTGAGCTAAACGCAGCTCATGCAGTTATTGATGTGAAGCGATCAAGGAGGCCAGTGACTGCGTGTTTTGATGGGGATGGTCGTAATGGGGCCCAGCTCATGCTACTGACATGAGGACGAGGAATGGACGAGATTCGAAAGCGCGGATGCCAGGTCGAGCGCAAAGCGACGATATCGGGGTTCTTGATCGAGGTTGTTTACCGTCCGGATATTGATGGTCGATGAGTATTAGGTGTGGCGGTGGTTGAGGTGGTGTATCTGGCGGTAGCGAGCGTGTGAGGTCGAGTGAATCGAGTGAATCCTGAGGTGCTAAGGCGTCGATAATGTTTTTTTGAGTGGTATCCCGCGGGTGGAGGGGAGGGAAGGGGAAGGGAAGGAGGCTGGAGACTGGTGGAGGTGTGGTTTGATATATGATTGCAACGCGAAAGTAGTGGGTTCCAGTTGGGATGCGAATGGGGGTCCATCGAGGGGGTCCATCGAGGCGGTAAGGTTTAAGAATGCGTGCAAAGTCGCCAAAGTAGCTCGCGCACATCCCATGCTGGGCGACACCCATGCCCTTGCCCCATGCCGCGATGGCGAAAGCCCTCAAGAGCCGGGTGGAAGAGCAGCAGCACAACGCCAGGGAACATGGATGCATCAAACAGCGCGAGCAACGTGCAAGAGGTCGAGACGAGCGAGGAAGGGAGGGAGGGAGAGGGAGAGAGACGGGGTGGAAGCTATCCCAAACGGGCGCTGGCTCCGGAGCTACAAGCAGACTTACATGCTGGCCAGGCGGTTTAGGCTGGTGCCATATCGAGCAGCTTAGCACTCTCCACATCGAGTCCACAATTACCGCAAGAAACAACACAAATAATCATAACAAACAACTAGTCGACCGAGTTCATTTCAGTGTCGGGCAATATCTGGATGTACCAGAAGCGCACGGAATGATGTCGCTGGTGCTGGATGATGGGGACTTTGGTGAGGCTCAAGAGGGATGCTAAGGCACTTTTTGATGCTGGCAGGAGTAGTACAGTAGCAGTAATGTTATTATTCTAGTAGGCCCCCATGGCCTCTTCTACTGAGCAGTGTTATGGATAGCATCTGCCCCCTACTGACCGATCTGGCCGCGAGCCGCAAGCAATCGGTGGACACTGGACAGAGAGCACATCACGAGACGAGCTTTGGACCCTTTCGTACGAGTAGGTCGTCTGTAGTGCAGATAGTCGATATTGCGTATCATTTATTCGGCCGGCAAACGCCTCTCATGCACCGGCGAAGTCAGTATCAGTATCTCATGAGTTCACACCGAAGCCTGCAATGGCCGTTGCTGACTAGTCTCAGGTGAAACCGGCAATGGCCAAGGAGGGAATATACCGTGGAAATAGACGTTGTCGATAGACGCCTACGATATCATCGAAGAATAACATTCTTGTTGTCTTCTGCATATACTCGTAGCTGCTGCGTCCTCCGTTCTCCGTAAAGCCTCATGGCCAATCGAGCTATCCTTGCGTCGCACCCACACACGCGCAAAGCAGCGGCCCACCACGCTCGCTAGCGGGTGCCTCAGCCACACTTGCCGACCTGCCGATGGTCATCGTTCTGCTCTCACTGGTGACTTGGGGGAAAACACAGAACGTCTTCGGGTACCGCGAAGCAGTCAGGCCACTGGAGCAGCGAACAGCACTCGAACCGACCGGCCGATCATCTCTCGGAAGGGAAGAATGAGTGAACACGAAGGTCATCGTGGCGAAAAGGCTTCATCATCTTTGCTGCAAGAGACTAGGTTGAACGAGCTTTTGCGATCGCAATGTTTCTTTGAACCTCTCCCGCGCTGCTGGTTGGGTCTCACCAGCCGCCAAACGTCCAAGAAGGCTTGGGGCTTGGGCGACCGCCGAAGCCAGACCAGCTGTGGCTCACGGCGTCCCTACGGAGAGGTGCCCAGGTGCTGTCGCACGTCGTAACTCACCTCATCACACCTCTCATGTCGCTGCTGTGGCTCGTGTCTGGAGCAGGTCCATCTTTTCTTCAGGTCCAGTCGATCGCTACCGAACCTCCCCCCTGAGAAACTCTCGTGATCTGAAGATCCTCTAGTTTCGGAATGCAACTGTTCTGCAGTCCTTCTTCACCTTTCCGACGTGTGCTGGTCGCTTAAGAATCCACGATACCACCCTATCCCTCCTCTGCAGCTCTGCTGGGTCTTTATTTTCCCAAGCACCAGCCGTGGGTGGTAGCGAAAAAAAGCGAAGAGAAGCCAAGCCGTCTGTGTGACAGGTGAAGCCAGAGACAGCCGCACTCCCGTTTGCGTACTCCGCACCCGTCCGCAGAGAATCAGATGGGAGTCGCGGTGGCCTTTGCCAAATCCCATGCGAAATCGCAACCGCGACGGAGAAATCTCGACAGGGTCCGTAAGATACTCTTTTGACTCGAACGACATCGACGTGGTTAAGCGAGCCTCAAGAACACGCTCACAATGCACATCACCAATCACCAAGAGCCAATTCACCCACCGCCATGCGATGATGGCCTTCAAAACATTCTCCCTCTGTCCCTAGCAGTGTGAGCCACTAGTGTCTTCCAAGCTCGCTGATGGTTGGTGTGAAATGTGTTTCGAAGGATACATGGCAGGTTCCTGAAATCAAAATGCGGACAGGTCCCCTTCTCGAACCGAACTGACCCCAGCGATCCCAAATTTGATGGGGTGAAGGCGGAGATGAGGCGCAAACAGAGCCATCAGCCCCATCATTACTATCCGATTTCTCATTTCTCGGTTTGGCACGCACCGTGATAAGGACCTGCTTTCATGTCCACGTTGGGTCACGGTGCGGTACCAAGCCTACACACGTTTTATTCCAGTCATTCTACGGTACATGAGCGACTTTGCAGAACCCCCAAGTCTCTCGCAACGCCTGCCAGTTCCAGGCGCCGGCGAATTGGTTTTTCTCGAAACAATCTCCGGAGAAACAAGCTCTGTGATAATGATAGCAAATATACGGCAAACTCCTCGAGAACTGAGGATGATGCATAAACAAATGCTACATGACGCTAGTCATGCCATATGAGTCGGACATTTGCGTTCCCGTTTAGCCTTCGTCGACCCCTACTTTGCGAGAACTTCCTACGTTGGGCTAGACTAGGACCGAAGGTACCTTAGGCCATCCATTTTTCATGCAGCAGCAGCAAATTCGGTGGAATAATAAATTCACGCAAATCATCCTCACCGAGAAATGCTCATTGGGGAGATCATCCAATAAAAGCGCATCTGGAGCATCAGCCACACCTCCGCGTATTGGGAACTGATATGTGGCTGACGTCGACCGTTGCCCAGATGGTGTACCATTACAACATTATTACTCATGATCGTCCTGAAACGCACGATGTGTCACACTCATCGCACCAAACTCTGAGGGAGAAATGGCAGAATCCGCATCAGATGAGCGCAGAAGACGATCCCTCCCCGTTCGAGCTTAGATGTGGCTAATGTGTACGTGGCTGGTGATCCCGCAACCACCTGCACCTGGGCTGGGCACAAGATTCAAAGTCTGTGGTGTTCCAGACCCGAGTGACCCGAATAGGGCAATTGGTCGACCGAGGAAGCGGCAGAAGTTTAAGAAGAACGCCATATCTCTTAGTGTTGCTATTTGTTCAAGTGTTGAATCGCAAGAGCCGACAGACGCGTGGCCCTATGTTCCTGAGAGCAAGTGCTCTCAGCTCTCTGCTCTCTACGAAGCGTAGAAAGCAAAAGAACATTCGCGGTATCGCTGCGCTCCTTGCTTTTACCCGCCATCAAATCCTCACCTGCTAGATTGTTTGGCCGGTTCGAGCTCTCTCCTTACCGCTCTTGCTCTACTCTTTCGTGTTTCTCGTCCCCTAGCTGTTGTTTTCTCGAAAATTTCTTTCTTGCTCTCCGTGGATGGCGAGTCATTTCTATAGTGACCAGTGGTTCAATAGTTTTCTCCTGAACCGCTAATCCTCCCAGTTTTCTGGATCCATCACGCAAAAATACATTTATCATCTTTGATTTTCGCCTTGTACCATGGGCTGCGAAGTGTCGCTGGCCCATATTGTACACCGCAGGTGGATTTTTCGTCCTGTGGCGATTTGCATTCTACCAGCTTTGGGTAGTCGCTACTATTGCCTAGGACGTTTTGTTATACATTGAAAGCTGGCGAATCTCCTCTGTCAAACAACGTCACTTGTAACTATGCCATTCCCGTACCTCAAATGTTCTTTCGTGTAGCGGTGCTGCTGGTTGTTCTTGTATCACAAATAATTGTTCAAGAAAGCACCCACTCTATTATTTCCATATATCCATCGCAAGTACGATTCGCAGAGTTCAGACGAGTGGTTCAACAGCTCATTTCCCAGAGAAAAAGAGCGGAGGTGGCTCCAGACTCACAGAAAGAGGGGTCAGAACCCAGTTCACCTGAAACATCTGCACATCCTTCACGATGGTTAAAGCCGTTTCCTTGACGAATCAAAATCCTTGTACCGCTTGAATTTCTTTCTAAATCATCTCTGGTGTGCTGTCAATCTTGAATTCGATTTGCTATCGATACTGCAGCCCCGGGCGAGAACACGGTTCGAGACGTCTGTCACACCGCTGGGAGTGTCAATTATCGTTATCTCGTTGGCGAGATGTCAGCTTGAACCATGGCGGAGGGAAGGATCATTAGGCTTGGTGAAGGTGTTGTCGTGGCAGACAATGATTATTCCAGCCACACATGCCGCCTTAAAATTGTTACAGGAACAGGCTGGAGATAGCCCCCGCAACCAGTTATACAGCTCATGCAGTCGACATCCCTGGTTATTCAAGCCTTCCGAGGCCCTTCTATTCTTCTATTCGATCACCTCGCCCAATTATTCTTGTGTTGCATCGCTGAATTTCCCTCCAAGCACCAGGATCACATGATTTGTTCTTGTGTTGCATTTTGCTTTTTTCACCACTGCGATGACGTATGTGCGGGCCACATCTGAGTAAAGTTTCTTTAATTATCACATCCACAGATCGGCAACAATGATCAACGTGTTTTCAAAAAAAGAAACACAACATACCTAGAGTATAGGTAACTGGACCCCTATGACATCATACTTCTATTTGCAAAAACACCACCTACCAACACCAAGCGAGGGCCCAAGGTACCAGGCTCAAGTACTGAGGTAGGCTTGGTACTGTGCGTTCCTTCTTACAGAGTATTCTTATACTACAGTCAGATTTCTCGCTTCGTGTTGGTGGAATCAATCAGTTGCCGTCCCCGTTGTCATGACCCGGATCTTGGGATCGATCTACGCGCCGGTTAGGGATACCCTGAAGCTCCTTATGGTTATCGAATAAATTTAGAAGCGTCGTGGAAAACGCTCCTGTCGATCATCATTTGAGGCTGAGAAGATAAGCCACAGCTTTTTGAGTTCTAAGTGCATTTGACGGGCTGGCAAGTGCAAGTACTGGTAAGTCACTTGGGTCGGCTTTGTAGTGAAGTATTTATTTCGCAGTTTCAGGACTGATCTCCGAAGGCTAGACATGCCAGCATCGACCATGCATTCATGTATTGCTTGTTATCAGGTACGAAATATGTGAGAGGTTTACACCTCGCGCAAGTATTCCAGAAACACCCAGACTATCCCCAATCTCGAAGAGAAGGGATCTGTAGAGGACTTGGATGACCAAGATGAAGAGAACTCGACGTAAAAGAACATCTAGATGACCCTGACAAAGTCATAATGTATTTCGTGAGTTAACTGAATCAGAAATACGAGCAAGGCGTTCTATTATGAAAGTGTCAGGCTCTGGAATGTACAGATCTCTACGCCTGGCATTCGAGTTGCACTGTTTCACTCACCGCTTGTTAAGTTGACCAATTCCGTCATCGTGTTAGTCAATGACAGGGCAAACTGGTCTATTCTTGATACCTGGTGAGCGGGGTGAATGAAGAACGGCCTTGATTTATATACATGGGTCATGCTTCATTTCAGATCAAGACCCGTTTATAAACGACATTTCCACACCTTATATCATACAACCAAAGTTTGATTGTCGAAACATAGCCACCGATGTTCTCTTTACGAGGAGACACTGCAGTACATCTTCCCAGGAAGTCAGTCGATGCAACAGGTGTTATGAAGGATCAAAGACTAGTCATTAGTGACACAGCAACCAGACACACTCCCCATGAAAAGATATCTCTCACTACATATTATTCAAAATAGTGCGGCTAGTAGAAGGACCAGTGATATGCCCAGCCAACTCCGTTCGTCGTTCTGTTAATATTAGTAACGTTGTCGCTTATCTCAATAGATAAACAGCCATCTTTAAAAGGACTTACGCGAATATATTCCGCTGCAGCATTCCGTGCAGGAGCTACACTTGTCGAGCTCGCAGAAGGCGACGACTGCAAAGTTGAGGAAGCAGAGCCAGTTGATGTAGGGGTGAACGAAGAGCTCCTACCACGAACATCTCGAACATCGCCAACAGACGCGCAAGGTGATGTTGTGAGAACAGGCGCTCCGTTCGCCGAGAACTGAGTGTAAAGAGCAGGAGATGCAGTCGATAAAAACCTTACACATGCTGGCCATAAACTATCGTAAGTCGTGGGGTTGAAAACCAAAGCACTATAACAATAACAAGATGCCTGAGATCGAAAGTCCGTAAGAGTGCTGAACCCCGGGGACTGGGAGTTGCAGTATGCGGCGGCGCCAACCAGCGTTGCGCAGGCGGCTTCGCCTGGGTTTGTGATCGAAGGAGGTGGAACCGACCGTACAAGTGCTGTTACTGGACCTGTAAATTCCGCAGAGTTGAGGATGTTTCCAACTTTGTGGCATGGTGTGGTGACCAGTGGGCCGCCATTAGAAGAGGTTGCAACGGCGTAAGCAGATGGGTTGCCAGTCTGCCAACCTGCGTCGCAAGATTGGATCCAGCCATCGTAGCCGTTTGGAAACCAGTACGTTGATGCGTAACATAGACAAGGAGCTTGGAAGTTGAAGTTCGTGAATGAGGTGAAGCCTGGTGTTAGGCGCTCACAAGCTGCGATAACAGAACTGACTGTTCGACATGCCGCAGCGTTACCGTTTTCTTGAGCTATTGCCACGAACGATAGTAGTGCAGTGATCAATTGAAGATATGTGAGTTTCAAACCCATTGTGAACGGCATGAGTTGTGAGCAAAGTTGAAGGCAACGGGGAAGCTTGTTCACCTGAAGTGGCGCTCATAGTTTGGTCAGGGAATTACGCTTATTCAAATAGAAATCAAAGACCACATTGTCGAAAGAGTTTTGCAATGGTCAGCCAGGGCGCTTTACAGCCTTATAACAGAAGAAATATCATGGAGGTAATAATGTCCCTATGTGGTGGTCTTTGGCGAATTTCCTGTCCTGTTGTCCAAATCGAACCAATGAGAAGCTCGCGACATCTCGACACTGATAGAAAGATGCCATTTGGGCGGATCTGTGGCGCTGGGAGCCGCCATTATTGGACAACCTCGATGGACGACGCGATGTCAACATACGGAGAATACTCGCTGCGCACGCCTGCTGATGAAGGTTGTTCAGCTTGCTAACGCCTCCTGCTATATGCTACCCGGCCGACGAATCCCGTGAAGAGAGGAAGAGGACAAATGATCGAACGCCAAATCTTAGCATCAAAAAGCGCAAGGGCGGAAATCTGCCTAGAAGAGTTGAATTGGTATGCATCGAGGGCTAACTTGATGTGCTTGTCAGGTAAGACCGAAATTGAAATGATTCATGACCTCGTGCATTTCTCTCCTTCATCTCCTTTAAAGCAAGTCTACGATCATCAGAAGCCGCAAGTTCAAAGCACATCAACAACATCGCCGTCGAATTGTTCAATATGGGTAATGAAACCATATACACCGGCATCTGGCAAAACCACTCGCAATCAGGCTGGAGAGGCTCGACTCTGACTCTTGATGTCAGATCGGGCTCGCTCTTGATCTCTGCTTTAGCTACGTTTATCACGCTGGTCGGGGCTCGCTTTTGGGCAATTGTCTCCTTCAGCATCCACCAGGTACGTGCGTCGCAGAAACAGAAAGATGGGATACATCACCAGCGTAAGCTGCCACTCAACTTAAGGTCTGCAAAATGCTAAGATATCTTACCCAGATCAGGTTGTTTATAGAAACGGTTCATCTGCTCTGGGGACGGCTTGGGCGGTACTGGAGATATCATGGGCTTGGAGGAAAAGAGCAAGCTGCAACGTTGGTCGCTTTTTCGCCGCGGCACTGCCTCCAGTGCTTGTTTTCGCTGGCTTTGCTGCAGCCTCGGTCTTATCAGCAAAGGTCGCAGCTCCACCGACGGGCGCTAGTCAGGTCAAACTGGTATCCAAGAACTGTGGTTATATTGACTCTAGCACTGACGTTCTGGGTACAGTCTCGCAAGATAATTCTCAGATCTTCAGCAGACTCTCTGTGAGGACTGCGATCCTCGCAAGAAACTATGCCAGAAATTGCTATGATGATGATTCGCAGAATTTGGCGTCGTGTAACTTCTACCCAATCCGGAGGTTACCATATCAGACCCACGAGGAAGCAACATGTCCGTTCAAAGGTGACAGGTGCATATTGGGTCCCCAGAAGGCCTTTCGAATGCAGACTCCTTGGCTCGATTCGCACAGCCATTTCGGGATCAATGCCCAAACAAATCATCGTGTAGAATGGCGACGAACGACCACATGTTCCGTCCTCAATGTTACGGACCGAGTCACAACTCGTTCTGCTCCCTCTGGCAAGGTACACACATGGAATCTCGGTTATTCTGGACCACTTTCCGCCCGAAGCAACCAAACGTATAACTACAATGAAAACGCTGTGAACTTCGGCATGGCATACACAGTACAGTAAGGTCTAAGACTATCTCTTCCAAAACCAAAATTAACAGTCAGCTCTAGATCAAATTTTGCTGTCGAGCAGGATAGATATTCAGGCTGGGTTCCTTTTGATGATATGCTACACCAAGATGCAGATGTATCTGTGTTTTTCCTTGCCCCGAACTCGGTTCTCTATCCAGATCCAATCGATGATCCGCTGTTCTCTGCTCACCGGCAATTCTCGAACAACCCCCCGAGCTCAAACGATACTTACTACGGTTCGGATGAGCTTGTCACTGTCGTCGGATGCATTGACCAGGCCGAGATCAGGAATCCTTTAACAGGTGTAAGCACTGCACCGCTTGGGTTGCAAAGATTGTCGAATGATACTTTCGGCATTGGGCTCAATCCCTCTCAGGTTGCAACGTCCTTTAGATTGATTATCCCCTCAGAGCAAGCTCTGATGTTCAACAGTGTCAATGGCGTGGGCACTACGGCGCTCAAGGCACAAGACTCACTCTACATCATGATATCATCTGGCCTACCAAGTAATCAATGGCAAATCGAATTGCGTGGTTGGTTTGACACAGCATTAGCTCGTATGCAAGCATCTGCGATAGATTTTGTTTCGAAGACGGAAGAGGCAACGTCGGTAGGAAAATTGGGATTTGGTACCAGTCAAGAAAGCACTCAGCCGATGTGTAAAAACCAATTAGTCACTGCAATTGGTAACTACCAGTCATTCTCAATGATGGGAATTGAGATCATTCTGGCTGTTGGACTCTTCATTGTTCTCATCAGCTTTGTACTTGAGCGTGTTGTCGGATGCATTCACAAGAGATGGGGAAGCCATAGATACAAGCAGGTGCGCTGGAAAGCAGATGGGATCTTGCAACAACAGCGACTAGCTTTTGAAAACAACAAAGTTAACGGATGGGAAAAGACAGACGACACTGTGCCAATTACAGCGCTAGGAAAGACTTGGATAGTATAATTTATAACGTAAACAAATCTAGAGAGTAGTACTAGTATCTTAACTGGTAGTAATTATTTAGATTTAGAGTAAAAACATATATTTTTTAGACTAAGTAAGTTATATAGATATTATACTAGTAAAAAATATAATAAAAAAGAAAATTATACTTATAGTTATACTATTATAGATAAAGTTATAATAATATTAATTATTTAAAAAAATAAAAAACCTTTTTAAATTACTTATTTTAATTTTTCAATTAAAGTACTTAAAAGTTACTTTCCATAAACTTTAAAAGTTAGTATTAAAATATACATCTTGTTATAGAAATAGTAGTATATATAACTTTAGTTAAATACTTATCTAAATATATTTAAGTATTTAACTCTATATAAGAAGTACTTATCTTTTACTCTTAAGATAGTAGAATTTTTATAATATACTATTTTAATTTTATTTATTAATATCTATATATATATATATATATATTAGTTATAAGTCTAGTATATTACTTAAAAGCTTTATAATAACTATATAAATATTATAAATAGTAAAGTTTTAAAATTCTATAAAGATCTTATATTTATATTCTTCTTTTTATTTTATATTATTACTTAACTTACTTGAAATAGTTATAAGTAATAAAATTATTATAATTAGCTCTAACTAGTAAAAGAAGTAGTAAACTACTTTCTATAATAGTATACTATTATATACTTATATAGTAAAGAGACTTAAGGTCTAGTTTAAATAAAACTTAAATATTTTAAAGTTAAGTATAGTTTAGATTTATTTTAGATTAAAACCTTAAATATATATAAGTAGTAGTTCTTTCTATATATATACTCTCTATCTTTTTATATTCTTTATATTAGACCTAGTAGAACTTAATAAGATACTAAATATATACTACTATATATCTCTACTTTAGTATCTATAAACTTATATTATTATATTATATAAAAAGATTATATCTACTAAAAATAGTTTACTATAATATCTTATACTAAGTTACTCTTAAAACTATACTATACACTTAGTAAACTATAATTAATTAATAAATAGAAATAGTTTATAATAGTCTAGATTTTAGAGATCTCTAAAATAACTAAAAAAAACTAGATTATAGTTTTCTTAAGAAGTAACTAGTAATAGATATTATTCTAGATATTATAAAAGTAATTTAAAAAAGACTTTTAAGAAAATCTCTTTATATAAAGAAAATTATAGATAAGTCTAAATAGTATTAGTATTACTAAAAAGTTTAAAGTCTCTAAAATCTCTATATATTAATTATATATTAAAACTAATAATACAACTAATTATTAGCTTTATTAATATATAGTAGTAAATACTTATATTTAGATATATATAGCGCTATTTAATATAATAGACTATCTAATATATTAATATCTAATATTAATATTAGTAGTTATTTAATAGATTAATAGTTATTTTATAGGTTAATTAGTTTAGCTTTAAAGCTTACTAATAACTAAGGTTATTATTTATATAAGAGAATAGCTCTCTCTTTTAGTTTTAAAGTTCTTTGAGTAAAATATATACTTTATTATATATTATTAAGTTATATAGTCTTTATAATATAAAATTCTAATTTAATCTTCTTATAGATTCTATATCTAGTATTAAGCTTTAACTTAATAAACGTTACTTCTAGTATATATTTATATATATATTATTATTCTTATAACGTACTTATAATTATAAGAAGTAATTATATTATATATAGTAAGTATTATTATTATCTTCTTATATTATAGTATCTATACTTAAATTAGGTATAATATAAGTCTATATATTATATATACTAGAATAAATAGTAGTAGTTCTATTAGTTTTATTATAGTATTTAATCTAGTTAAGTAGACTTAGACTCTATAATTCTTATTATAGAAGAGGTTTAGGTAATTATATAACCTATAAGGTTTATATTATTTATTCTCTAAGTTAAGTCTAATTATCTAGTTAGATTCTTAGTATAGACTAAATTATATTATAAAATATATAATTATACTTAATAATATTATTATAAGTATTAGGTAATAAATACTTATATTACTTTAGTTACCGGCGTAATAGCTACGCCAAGTGATTTTTTTACTAGAATTATGTCGATTATATACTACTTTATACTCGGGGCTAGAAAACGGGTACATTTCCTTAATATTTTGTCCTATAGCCCTAAGTAGTAATTACTGCCTTACATCGATCCCTTATTCCCCGAATTAGGCTCTTTATTTAGTCGTGGGTAATCGATTCCTAGGCTTCTTGTATAGCTTTTCTAAGGTTTATATACGAGGAATATACCTTTAGGTAGTATTCCTAGATATAATCCTTTATCTAGTCCTATACTGTCTTAATTAGGTTTAAATTAGGGCTATTCGCCGACTATTTTATTACCTTAATTCTAGCTCTTTTAAATACCTCTTTTATAAACTTAGAAGTATACCCTTTAGAATTATCTTACTAGAATTCGAGCTCTAGGTATTCCTATAATATCTAGTCCACAATTAGGATAATTATACTCGAATAAGATCCCTTATTTATTGTCTCCTAATTCTTCTCCTAAAACAACCCCTTATACCTACTATATTTACCCGAAATCGAACCCTAAAATATTTAGCCTATCTTTTTTTAATACCTATCTATAATATAGTCTTTATTAAAGACTTCGTTAGGCTTTCGGGTTACCTAAACTCGTATATACCGACTAGGTTGTGCCCAAGTTTCGTCGCTCTAAAGTATATAATCCTATTACTCGTCCGACTAGTCCTTATACTCTTCTACCTAGGCAAGTCTATCGGCTACATTTTAAAGTAAAAGGGGGGGTTTCTTTCGAGAAATATACCGGCGATAACCCTCTTTTTTAAAGGCTGTCCGAATAGCCTTTTCGCCGTACTCCTAACCTAGTATATTAGGTATCTTATCCTAAGGCGTTTCTCTATTTTGGCGGGAGGTAGTAACCTAATCGATAAGGCGCTTTCGTTAAGGAGTATTAAGGAGGATATAGCGACTACTCTTCTTCTTTTAGGGAGTAAGCCGGTAAGATAGAGCCTAATTAACTTAATCGTAGCTATAGTCTATTTAAAGGTATATCTACGCTCGTATAAAATTAGTATTATAATAGAGGGTTTATACCCTTAATCGGTCGTCGCGAGAGAGCTCTTTTCGGGGTTATTTTGGCGTAGGTACTAAGATCTATAAATCTATAATATTAGACTACTTTAGAAAGGTCAAAAAACATACTAAAAACAGTCTAAAAAGTAGCGGTAGGTTATTTTAAGGTTATTAGCTATTATGCCCTGTTTTTCCGGTACCTAGTAGAAATTACTAGAATTCTTGGCGTAACAATTACCCCTGTAGTATAGTATATAGTATATTATACTATAGTACTTATAAAGAGTCTATAGTAAGTATAGAATATTCTAGAAAGTAATATTACTAAGGTAGTAAAGTTTATTTCTAAGTAAATATTCTAGAATAATAATATTACTAATATTCTTATTAATATTAATAATAGTAACTAGTTAATTTCTAATAAATAGAATCTTCTAGAGTTAAGATTTCTACTATATAAGGGTTCTTTAGTTCTAAGTAGATAGCTTCTCTCTCTAAGTAATTTAAGTCTTTTATATTCGAACCTTAAGTCTCGCGACTACGATAATTACCGCTATTCTCCCTACGTTATATCTATATATACTTTATATCTATATATCGATATATACTCTATCCTAATACTTAGTATAATCTTAATTTATCTTATTTTCTTTAAGATAATCATCTTTATAAACTAAGTTTTCTTTAATAATTACGTCTCTAGTATTTATAACCTTTTGTAACTTAGGTATATAAACTAAGTAATTATTAGAAGACTCCTATCCTACTAATATACCTATATTAGCTTTATTAGCTAATTTACCTAGTTCTTGTTTATTTCTTACTTCTTTAGGGATTAAAGTATAAGTAAGAGAACCTAGGATTTTAATACTACTAATATCTGGCTTAGTATTAAATATAGAGGTATAAGGGATAGTCTTAGTAGGACTATTATAAGTACGATTTTTAATATATACTATAGATTTAATTAAGTAAGGCTATAAGAATAGAGGTATATTCTTTTCGTTATATATAGTAATTAGCCTTTCTATAATATATCTATTTAGCCTTTCGGCTATTCCTATTTGTTCGGGACTATAAGGACTATTATAATCGTTATATATACCGTTATTAGTATAATAACTAGTCTACTTATTACTCTTAAATTCTAGAGCGTTATCGGAGTATAAACCTTTAATAGATATATTAAGTTGGTTTCTTAGTAAGTTATTTAGTTCTATTAACTTATCTATAGCCTCCGACTTATATTTTAAGGCGTATATAAAGACAGCCCTAGTACGTCTATAGGTAAAGGTTATAAAGTACTTTTTACCTAGTAGACCTTATATTCTAAAAGGACCGGCTATATCTAAGTCAAAATAACTTAGTATTTCTTTATTACTATCTAGAGGTTTATAACTAATATTCTTAGTTATTTTACCTAGTATACACGAATTACAGTTATCTAATTCGGTTTTACTAGTTTTATCTAGTTTATAGCCTATAGTGTTTTCTATAGTCTTAATAAGGTAATCCTTATTTATATAATTTAGCCTCTTATATAGTAAATCTATATTAAGATTCTTAATACTAGAATCTACTTTATAAACTAGGTTTTCTAGTTTATTATAGTCTATACTTAAGTCTAAGTAGTAAGCGTTACTATTCTACTTAGCTAGTATAGTAATATCTTTATTAGATATATAAGTAATACTCTTATTAAACTCTACTTTCTAACCTTTAGAGGTTAGAACTCTAGTAGATAATAAGGTAGATTTAAGACTAGGGACGTAGTTAACTTTAGTAACTAGTATTTCTGTTTTAGTCTTATTATTAGCTATAACCGGTATTTTACCTATACCTAGTAAGGGTAATCGGTCACCGTTAGCTATAGTAATATA